GAGTAGGAGGTGGTGGCGGTGGGTTGGTGGGGGGATCAATGAGAGGAGCGTATGGTGGCGAAGGTGGGGGGGTGAACCCCACACGTCGGCTCAGAAAGGAGAAGAGGAGGGGGCCCCCTGGCAGAGGAGCACCCTTCTTCTCTGCAGACCTGTCGCCTCGGTGCAACAATGGCCGTGACAATGACACTGGAGGAGGAATTTCCACCCACCCCCCCACCTCCTTCACCACCACCAGCAGCACACACATGCATCCCCTCCCAATCTTTGCGGCGCATTAAAATCAGCAGAGGCAAGATGAATGACTCCCTAATAGCTTTCATTTGTTACAATTATCATAATTAAACATATGTCAGGGGCAGACAAAGGAACAGGAATATTTCTGTGTTAACACCTCAGGCGGTGGGAGATGCAGCCACCTGAAAGGGATCTTTTTGGTGATGTTATAATTAGTCCGGATAGACTTGGAGCATATTTACAGTAATTAAAGCCCCTCTGATTCAGTAATTCTGAGTTTCAATAATCTGTTTGCAGCAACATAGTGGACCCTATTTATTTTATATCCTTCTGTCATCCTCATGTCCCTGCTGCCTCTTTGAAGAGCACCTGCTGCTTTAAATGTTTCAACACACTTGGAACACTTTTGTTGCACTCTTTTATGCTGTAAATTCGCCAACAGATTTTCTTATTCCTTTTAGAATCACATAGATACGCAGCAGTGCAACATTTAGAGGAAATTTTCGCTCTCTTTCATTTACCTCTATCATGTCCTCATCTGCTGAGCTGGAGTTTCTGCAGCTCTTCTATAGGCTGGTACTGGGACTCCTAAGACTCCTAATTTATCTCTTTTATTAATTCTTCTGTGCATTACATGTACGTGTTGGTGGCATTATAATGATACAGAGATTTTTTCCTTCACAGTTTCAGTAAAGGTGGTTAACTTGATCTGAAGGAACTAAATCATTACCTATTGTCACTCCTGCAATACTCTTCTCTCTCACTGTGCAATAACACATGCAAACTACTGTGTAGCCTGTGTAATATTTTACTTATTTTATAAAGTCAGTACATCTCTGCAGCACAAGTGCATGAATCCAATTCAACTACAGTGTAGTCTTTCCTTAGTCCTTTACTGAGCAGATATTTTTTTTTATATCTAAAGGGAACATATTCCAGGACAGTTCAACTTTTGTATGTTCTTTTGTGCTATATACACTCTTTTTTATATTTTCTGTTGTATTTTTATCTTTAATGACATCTTGCTTTAACTTTTTGTACTCTATATAAGCTACTGGAACCAGAATGCCCCTGAAGGAATAATCCCAGTGAATAAATAAAGTTGAGTCTAAGTCTAATAGGCCAAGAGGGTGTAACAGACATCAGACTAAATTCTACATTTGACCTAATGTCCAGCAATCATTCTCTTGGTTGTTCATTTAAAAGTGTCCTTAATGAGCCAATAAGTCCTTTTTATTCTGGGTTTGAGAACTCTATTTTGTGTTTAATCATTCTAAAAGAAAGTATGAGAAAGGCTCCGTTTTTGCATTTTTATAGAGATAATAAATGTTTTATAAAGTACATGTTATAGAATGTTGGTTACTCTGGTGTACTTAAGAATTAGACTTAAAATAATTAAATTGAGTCAAGATTTCACGGAGAAATGGGGAAATTGTAGCTATAATTAGTATGAATTGGTGCCATCTTTTAATACACTGTGCACAGCATGGCTGATTGGAAATGAAAACACGCAGCTGTAGAGGAATTTATGGATTACCGTTTTCTGAGTGTACCCCAAAGGCTATGAGGCCCTGGGTGGTGAGCCCTATCCCCTCTGTAAAAGAAAAAAGGAATAAAATAAGTTGGTGAGGGTTGGCTGAAATGAGAAAGAGTGAGAATGATCAAAAACATTGGTGTTGAAACAGGAAAAAAAAAAGAAGTTTTTTCAGAGCTTCCTGTAGTGACTAAACCAAAGACCGTGGCTTAACCCTTAATTGTCCTCCAACATGAGCACATACATGAAATATCTTTTATTTAATATTTTTCACATACAGCCCAGCAATCTTGACAAGACAAGCTCCTTAAATGAAAAATAAATCAACACAGCACATTTCTTCAGAAAAATATACCCATTTCATTGACATACAGGGTTTTTTTTCTCTCTCTCTCTCTTCAAACATTTTTAAACGGTGTGACCCTGAGATCAGCCTCACGTTTTAGATAACAGCTCATTTAACCTTGACAGCCGCATGTGAGACAAAATAAACTGCAGAGGTTTGCGCAAACGCGACCAAGTATAGTTCTTTTTTTGGAAGAACAAAAAGGAGCGCAAATTTAAGAGATTTCTGAACGCAGACCATCATTATTTGGAGTTTCTTATGAAAAAAAAGACAACACACAGAAGTGAACCTTCTCTGTTTCAAAGCACATTTTTTCAAGTTTTTAATCAAGTATTTTTTATCTGACTGAATATAGAGCTCTGTAGAGATTATTAAGATTTTCCTAATCCTTCAGTGGAACTTCCTCTGTTTTTTTCACCATCTTGAGTGCAGAAGTTACAGGTGGATTAAATAAAGAATGAGCTCAGTCGGTACAAAATAAATAAATTAAATACAAAATGCGCAGTTGTGCAGTCATACTGAAAAGCAGACGTGGTCAAGGTGAGAAGACTTTATTTTAGTCTTCGGCGGGATGTGATAACTTCTCAAGGTTATCTGCATCTCAGCAGAGAAGAAAACACTCAGGGTTTCCACGATTTAGGAAAACACGCGTGATTTCAATAAATGATTGATTTCTAATCGTCCAGATGTTTTCCAAACTCTGATTATGACGATGTTTCAGTATTGAGTGCTTAAGCAGTGTGACAGATCTGTGAGGGTTATATGAGAGAGGCTGCGCTCTGTCTGAGTCAGAGGATTTCTCTTCCTAATGATCACCTTTGTCTTGACGCAGACTACAGGCGTCCTTCTCCTTTAGCGCAAACACGGAATGATACATAATTTGTATTTTGGGTACCTGCTGAATAAACAGAGCTGACAGTGAAGAACTGCGGCTCTAAACAAAAACTGGCGTTTGAACGCGCGTTTCGTTTAAACAGTGAACCTCCTTTGGGCACATTTATATTTGCGCACTTTTACGAAGCGCTTCTTTTTAGTGTCGCAAACTTCATTTTTATTTCTCTCCGCGCTCCTCTCTGCGCCTTTCTTTCCCCTCTTTTTTTCGTGCTGTTGCTAGGGAAGCAGGGCGTATTCGCTCCCTGGCCGCGGATAAAAAAACAGACATAATGCGTAAATTAGAGGCTTTCATGAAGCTCTTCTGCAACAATCACGATTTTAAACCCTCATTGCACCTAACTTATGACTCAAATCCGGGAATTATTGAGCGCTTAACGCCACATTTCGGCGCTTTTTCTCCATTACCTTATATGGCATGGCAGATATAAATCGTGCCTGTATTTAATAGGCTGGCCGCTGCCGCTCTGCTCCACAGCTTCACTTTTAACCCTTGTGGTGCTGAATTATTTTTTAGAGCAAGGGGGAAAAAAGGTCGGTTTGATTTAGCTTTTCACGCCCTTTTTGTGACAAAAAACGTAACGAAATAACCAATTTGGCACCAGCTTTAAAAGGAGGGCACAGTTCAGGAACAGTAAATGTGATGATTTGCTCCATTTTGCTCGTTTTGCGCTCATGTTTCCAATAAACTCTCCCACAAATCAGTCGAGTCGGTGACATTTACAGCGCAGAAGACAAGCTCCCCGATGCTGCGGTCTAAGCTGCAGGATTTAGATTGTCCTGATGTAGATTAAATGGCAATATTTCAACCAATAACAAGCGGTGGAGGTGGTTTTCAGATGGCAAATGAACTGAGCGCCGTGGCAACGGATTAGTGAAGTTGCCACAGGTAAAATGAGGGCTGCACAGCGACTCTGCAGCGTGACTCTAGTCGGTTTTGACTATCAGACTGTGTCTGACCTATATTTGCAAAGAGGCTCTTGTGCGTAATCGAACCGAACATTTACAAAAAAAGGGAACTTCAGCATCAGTTAAGCTTGGGTTACACTGTTACTTTCACACATCAGCAACCATCTGTGTTCATGTCTTGTTGTACCAAAAATGTTTAATTGTTAAGACAGAAACGTCAAACTCGTGGTATCGAATTTAGAGATTGCAGGCTGGACTCTCTTGTTTGACTTCTATGTTGCAGCAAATGTGGCGAGATTTTCTCTCCAATCCCACAGGATGATGCTGCCGCCACTGTGGTCTTTGCTAGATGAAACCGTTAAGTCAAAGTCTGGCTGTGAAGCAAACACATTAAACGTTGTTTTGAACTTGGCAAAATTATGCAAGGGAACTAAACTTTTAAGAGAATAATAAGGAGACATTTTCTGTGAATGAGTTATGGTTTGAATTGGTTTTAAGTCTCCTTCAGCTGGATCTAATTGTGGACCTACTTTCAGACATTCTTAAGGCAACTTTAATGTTCTGAAATGTTTTAGTCTTTTTGTATGTTTTATGTAGCAGGAGGCTACATATTTTTTGTCATTCCATTATATCTCACTGTGAGTTGTAAAGGCGGGTCTTGTTATCAAATGTCTTTCTTGACTTTTCTTAAAACATGCATCTGCCTTTATATGTCTACTGTTGCATTTAGGTTTATATAGTCTATTAATTTTGTCCAAGGTCTTGTAGGGCTGGCTTCAATTTTGCTCCAATTCAACTTTTTGTCTCATCTCCAGAAGATGACTCTTCCAAGTTCACCAGTGAGGAATATGTATTCAGACTTTATGTGTCAGAGAATTACATATATTGTCTCCTGGTTTATTTAACACCTAATGGCAAGTGGCAGCTTGAAATGTGCTTAGAGCCACATGTAGAAGTAATTGTGGATTTGTGCGCCCTTCTCATCTGATCAGGTGATACATTTGAATTTCAAATCATGCTCCTCGACGAAGTCCAGCTTTTGGATAAAAACCACAACCTCTCTGTAAGGTCTCCCCTCCCCGTTCTGACGTCACCGGAGAGCTGCTCAGAGCGGATCCACTGTGAATATCTCTACGCTCATTGCCAGGACCGAGGAGTGTGCAGAGAGAGGAGGAGAGAAGGTGGAGGGAATACGTTCGAATTTTGGATCCTATTGGAAAACTACGGTGTGCGCACGGCACGCACCGACAGGAGACGTTTCTGCATTTTCACCGTGCGCCCCCCCCCAACCCCTTCCCCATTGAGATCGGATCGGAGCCGAGAATGGAGCTCCCTGCCGCCGGCGAGCACGTCTTCGCGGTAGAGGGCATCGAGAAGAAGCGCATTCGGAAGGTAACAGCGGGAAGGCGACGTCTGCAAAGACGTCGAAATGTTGCATGTTTTTTTTTTTTGCATCCGAGACTAATCCAGTTATTTTCCCCCTCCTTCCCTAACGTCTCAGGGCAAGATCGAGTACCTGGTCAAGTGGCGCGGCTGGTCTCCAAAGTAAGTCTGAAACCTGCTCATCAATAATATCAGGGCGGTTATTAAACCAAAACAAAAACATGAACCAATCCAAGTAGGCTATTGCAGCTATTAATGAAGGGCGTTGCGCGCACAAATCCGTAGGCGTTTATGTGTGAGAGCGTGGATCCACGGATGCCTTCACTAATTTATGCTGGAGGGGGGGTGGGGGGTAGGAACAGCCATGTAATCCCGTTTTAATTATTTCTGCTCTGCCAGCGAATTTACGAGACATAGTGCTGCTAAAATGGCCGACTTGATGTTGGAGCTAAAGGAGCGTTTGGATAACACAAACACACACATACAGACCCACACACACACACACTTAATTTCTGTTATGATTGTTTTTGGCTCTGCGGTCGGACACATTCTTTTGTTTATAATCCTTTAAAAAAAAGATACAATAACTCTAGGTATTTCTTCTATCTTCCAATATTCCTGTTTTGGGTTGAAACCCGCAGCCTTTACCTATCCAGGACGTTTTGACGCGTGGGGAATGTGTCCGCGGGAGACATGTGCGTGTCAGTTTGAAAAAGGAAGTTTGCACGTGACAGCTCCCTGACAGCTGTCTGCTTCTCTCCTCTCTGCAGGTATAACACATGGGAGCCGGAGGAGAACATCCTGGACCCGCGCCTCCTGGTTGCGTTTCAACACAGGTGAGCGACTCTGCGCGCGGCGGCGGACTTCGGACCAGGCCGCGCAGCCTCTACTTCAGCCACTACCATATAAGGGCATGGGAGGAGGGGCGCTGCTTCTAGTCAGCCCCTCCCCACCCCCTTCTGATCCCCCACTCCTTGCTTGAGTGGGAAGGGGGAGGTAGGGGGGTATTCTGGACGTGGTGGTTTGAATTCCTAAATTATGCTCATGGAAAGAAGGACTGGATCTGAGGAACCTAAAGGGGATATTTGATCAAATCAAACCCAAATCAGAAGTTGATCAACACCCAGAATGAAAATTTGATCTAGAAACTGAAGTAGGAGGGTGTTTTTTTTTTTTTTTACTAAAACCTGCTTAATTCCCAATTTGAACAAACTACATGCCTTCATTTTTTTTGCTTCCTATCTGGAATTTGGATGACATTGATGCCAGCCACTGAGGAGGTTGACTAAACAGGCTCATTGTTAAAAAAAAAAATTCAGAAATGTGGTGAAGCAACCATTTTGAACAAACTTTTTAATAGGTCGGTGTGTAAATGTGTGCGAGAATCAGTAAAAGATTCAATGTGGTGTTCAGTGCATTGGAGTTCTCTGACTGGCACTACATACATCACATTTACCATGTTTATTTCTTTATTGACTCTACTTTTTTCTCATTTGTGCTCTTGATGGTTGTGTCACTGATCTGATAATGTGAGGAAAACGTGTGATATTCCTGAGCAGATCTGCACCTGACACCATAAGGAAACCAGACCCGCTGTCCTGTTTGCCTAAACTGCTGTGACAATACACAACCAAACAAACAAAACACAAATTCGGTCATGGCTCTGTGTTTTGGTTTGTCGTGTCTACTGGTTTCCATCTTGCAATGGGTGGCTTCCAAATTATCTAAACTAATTTAAGAGTTGTTGGCTAGAACTTGATTTATTTGGAATAAATCAGTCCAGCCTTCGTATCGTTTAAGCCCATCATTGACTTTGGTTACATATTTGTTCAGTTTTTTCCTTCCTCTCCAGAGTTAGTTAGCATAGTTTCAAATGTCTCATGCTCACCTATTGCTCCAGTTCTTCTCTTTTCCATCTTTTCATCATAACATAATTCTGACATTCTCTATGTCCTTGTCCAACCCCTTAGACATATTGGCCACCTTTAATAAGATTGAACTTCGTAACTGGATGGGTTTAGAGAGAGGTCAAAGCCTCAACACTTGCCTGAAAAACAATCTGAATCTCTCAAATGTCGGTTTTAGAGGGCAACATGTTAATTAAATCAAATGCCACTGTCACCTAATCCTGCACAACTGCATCTCGTGCAGACCCACGAGGCCTCTGACATATGCTCTCTCTGTAGGCCAGCAGCCTGCTCAGGGGGCCGAGTGAAGGCGTGATGGCTGGGGAAAGGAATTCGCTTTTCTGAAAAGGCTAATTGACACACACAGAGCTTCTCAACGCTTCTAGTGTACGGCTCTCATATTCCCCCCACTGCCTGCCTGCCTCCCCTGCCTGGGTATAGAGCTGTGTGCTGGGATGTTCACGGAGAGCTGCCTCTGTGCTCTCTCTTTCTCTGTGTGTGCGTGTGAGCGGATTCCTCCCTGCTCCCATTGGATGGGGGAGGGGGAGCCGACGAGGGAGTCTGTAATTGCCAAATCTTGTGTGAATAGGGGTCACCCTGTTAGATGGCGTTTTCCAAATTGCGCACATTACAGCGGTGGAGACTGTTTATTGTGACGATGTTCTGGCAGCTCTGATCGTTTGAACATCTGCAGCACGAGGCCGACATTGAGGGTGGGTGTTGGAGCATGCCTGGGGAAGCATATTTACAGCTGGCCTTCGCCCGCCGCTGGTTATTTATGAGACGATGCTGAGTCAAAGCTCCTATCGGGCCTGGGGGGATTTTTCACACATGGTGTTGTCCTTGATCTGACCAGCTCTGTAATAATAACACAAATCTCAGTCCCTTTTCATTAGAAATAGTTTCAGGAGACGTTTTCTTGACTGCCTACCCTTTATATTGCCATGTTTACAGTAATGATCGTATGCCTTATATTTTTTCACATTTGCCATGCTAAAACTACAAACTTCCATGTTTTTCTTTTTTTTTTTTCAGTAAGACCAACACGGTAGTTAAAATGGTGAAATAGAAAGGAACAGATGAAATCAGATACACATGGTCCTGTTGACCTTTTTTTTTGTGTTTATCCCCATTTTTGCACTTTCCTATTTTAAAGATATCTCCAGCTCTTTCATATTGAATGGACAGTTTCTTTGGCAATCCTTAAGTCCTTCCTCAGATCCCCGGTTGGATTTTGGCTGGACTTTGACTAGGCCATTCTAACACAGGACATGCTCTTGTCTTTTGAAGCCCCCTAACAAACTGTTCTTTCAGTTTTTTAAGCCCAATTCATCTTCTCATTAACTTCTTTCTCCTCTTCCTTCCATCCATACCATTACACTGGTGGTGTTGTGGGATTCAGACTAATAGAGTAACCCTGCTTTAAACTTCTTTATAATTTTATTCCTGAGCTGTCTAAATTACATTGTGTTGATTTATATCATGTAAATCACCATATAAAACAATAAAGAGCGTGGGTGTAATGTAACAAACTGTGGAAAATTTACTTGGCTGGCCATCTGAGGAGGAAGGGTGGTCAGTTTAAAGGCGAGGACTTGAGGAGTGCTTGTTCCATCTGTAGCTCCTAATCAAATTTCTCCGCAATAATGAGAATATGGAATTGATTGATCACCATGAAGAGCTATGCAGATGAGGATCAAAAAGATTTGCACTGACTCATGGGTGGGCATTAAATAGTGCTCTGAATCATTGCTCCGATTTTGAACATGAGTAGGTGAAAGAAAACGATTAAAAACCTGTAACTTTCAACATGATTTGATGTAGTTTTACTGCCTTTGGAATGCTGACATAATCTTTTCTTTTGGCAGAGAGAGGCAGGAGCAGATGATGGGATACCGAAAGCGGGGACCAAAACCAAAACATCTTCTGCTTCAGGTACTTCAGAAGAAATATCCTGACTCATTGAAACACTTGAGCAGGTTTCACTTTCTAAGGTATCCTAGAAGAAGGAGCACAGTCAGGTGTGCCACACCTGCTGTCAGTATGCTTCTCGAAACCGTGTGTGGGAGGGAGGGCTCCCACAGGTTTATCTCTGCACTCAAACTGAAACGTATGTTGTATTAGGTTCAAAATGTACTGATGGAGTGGACTCTTTTATCTGCCAGCTTACTATCTTACCATGCAAAATAGGCATGCAAAACCTTTATTACACTTCAAGTCACTATGTTTAGTGAGCAAACATCCTGCTTTTTGCACAAACTTGTGAGAGTAGGATGTTTCTTTTTTCCTCTTTTATTGTCGTTTTGGGAATGGATGCGTGCTCTCTTAAGAGAAGCATTTACAGACGCTCTTTCAGAGCCAAGTGTGATTATATATTTCAAGTTTGTCCTGATTGCTGTGCAGCATCGCTACTGAAGATGCTCGCCACGTGGCCTGCAATCGGGGGCAGAGCGTGACACGTCTGGTGGCACTTGAGTGACCCGGAGGTCGCAGCCAAAAGCGCCTTGATTACCGTATTCTGCGTTTCCCCTCTTACGGGTCACCCAATGGTGCTTTGAACTGAGACCTTATTCCATATGGATACTTTAGCAGCTTTACTTTTAAACCTGACTGTATTGCAGTTAAACCATGAAAAGATGCATGTCCTTTGTGTTTTGAGGAGGATGATAATGTTAATTCACCATCTCTTCATTTTAAAGTAACTGGTACACAATAAGATGAGATTCCCTGGTTTTAGATTTTATTGTACTAAAATAATTAGGATGCATCGTAACACAAGGGAAATAGCTAATGTGCATGTTCACAATAATAGTGCAGGAGATCAGTAGGTCGAGGCAGAAAGCTGTGTAGCAGTTGGATCTGGGTTTGATGTTGAGCTATTTGCCTGGTGGCAGCAGATCAAAGTTCTCTGCAGAGCATGCTTTTTATTGTTTCCCTGGGGTTATTCCACAGTTTAAGGCAAATGGAAGATTCAAAAGAAATGACAAATAAAAAACTTATATGTAGCAATTCCTGGACACTCTTTCAGCAAGCCACACTACTTTGCAGGACGGTCTTCATTTGATGTTATTCAACAGGATTGGGCAATTCCAACATAAAAAAATGTAGACTTAACCTACAGAACAGATCATTGAGCCTCCAAAAAACCTTTTACATTCCCTCAATGTTATTTGCAGAGTCATCTTCACAGTGTTTTTAATGGATAGATCAACAGATTGGTCATATTAGTAATTGATAAGATCTGAAAATACAAACATATGGAAAATAGTAAGTTTCTGACAGATTCTTGACTTTTCAATGACTTTTAGCTCCCCTTACTATCCTTTGCAGGACACTGCTTACTGCCGTATTTCAGACATCAACAGGTGTTGAAGAATAAATTGTTTTGCTTTAGTTTCTTAAGAAATGGGAGTCCTGTTGTGATTGTAGAACAAAAATACAAGCCAGGTTGTCATATCAGCTCCCTTTTAAATTGTTTTTATTGAATACTTTTGTTACTTAAAAAAATGTTATTTATTTCCAACTTTTTTGGAAGTTTTGACAATTATAGGTCAGAATGTGGGAAGAAAGGTTAACAAATGTCTTTTCTTTGCTTAAGGTGCCATCATTTGCCCGGAGATCAACCATCCCAGCTGGATTCCAGGAAACAGCCAATGAAGCAGATGGTACCCTAAAGTCGGACTCTACACAGGTCCAACGCTCCCAGCCCCAGCAGTACCAGCTGAACAGCAAAAAGCACCATCAGTACCAACCCAGCAGCCAGGAGGTCCCTACTGATGCGCTGAGCAACAGCAAAAAGAAGTTCATCTACCAGCTCAACAGCAAGAAGCACCACCACTATGAGCCCGACCCACACATGTACGACGCTCAGGTTTCGAGGCTCAAGGAGGTGGTCAAAGTTCAGGAACCGGCCAGCAATCTGGCAAATCCTGGGTGGACCTTGCCCCTGGCCCTGCAGCAGAAATGGATCCACAACAAAGACACTGGTTGTTTGAGCAAAGTCAAAGAGCTTGCAGTGGAGGTGAGGAAACCGGTTAAAGAGGCGCAGAGTGAGAATGCTCTGAAGCCCAACCCTAAGGAGGCCAGTCTGCCTACTGCTGTCAGCAGCAAAATGAAGATAATCAAAAATAAAAACAAGAACGGACGCATTGTTATTGTCATGAGCAAATACATGGACGGTAACAAGGTTCACGGAGCAAAGGACAAACACAGGGAATCTTCAAGGGATGAGAAAACGCACGGCATCAAAACATCCGAAAACAATCCGGCACCCATAACCAAAATTGATGAACACCCCGAGAACGGGATTCCCAAAGAGATCTGTAAGGGCAGCTCCCTCTCTGTTGCAGAGCATCCTTTGAAATGCTCCCCCAAAGACAGACAATTTTCCAAACCTTCTCCGAGCACCGCCGAGGAATATAACACCGAAGTGGCCCGCGGTCAGGCTGATTTACCGGAGGGTTTATCTTTGCAGCTGACAGCCAGTTCCCCCCCAACATCTTGGACTGCCGACACTGCCATTCCAACCCCTACTGCCATTGACCAGATCCGGATCCCCTCTTTCCCCTGCAACCGGAAGCGTAAGCTTTCAGATCCCATTGAGGACAGGAACGTTGGTCAAATCTACCTGGCATCGAGGAGTTTGAGCATGCCCGCTGCTACGATGGCGCCCCCTCAGGACAAACCCATGGACCTTCACTGCAGCGTGGCACGTCACAGCGGTATGTGTACGACGTATGAAGAGGTTGGAAGCCAGGAGGAGCCGATGGACCTCAGCTGCCCTAAAAATAAGCGGCCGGTCGAAGCGGAAGCCCAGCCGCCTGCAAAGCCCGAGCCAGCCATTGAAGACACTTCTTCTGCGGTGAATAACACGCAGAAATCTTTGGATAAATCTCCAGAGGAACCTGCAAAACAAATTTCCCCCTTCATGGGAAACATCATCATCACTGATATTACCACAAACAGTCTCACCGTCACCTTTAAGGAGTATGTTTCTTTCTAAACTATGGGACCCACAGCTCTGATTGGCTGAACCTGTGAATATGTGCATATGTAAAACAAAACAGAAATTTGTACATATATTGATGAAATGTATCATTTATACATCAAATCCAGTATGTTTCCTATGACATTTTATACAGTAAGTACTTTGTGATGTTGTAGCCAAGAAAGTGCCCTCGACTATTTGAGCGAATGCATCACTTGGGTGGAGAATCTTCACCCAAAACAAAAAAATCTTTGTCTCCTGGAGTTTAAGAAGGGAACTATCGCTGTTTTTCATACTTGTACCAAACTTATAACCTTAGCTATATGAAGGTTTATACATGTTTCTTATTACTAATATCATGTTGGTGTGAGAGAAGGTTATTGATTGGACTGTTTGCAGAGCAGATTTAAAGCACTTAATGCATTTTCATACGTTTCATAAGTGTCATTGCTGTCGAAGAAACAGTCAGAGATTTTCTCTTTATTTTCTTGGTGTAATAGACAAACCCAGCCTTGTTGATTGGCATCTTTAGCTTTGCTCTTGGATTTTTTTTTTTTAAGTGTTCAGCCATGACATGCAAATTCAAAAATGGCAGGTGTGTCATAGGGCAGTGCTGCTGGCGCAGAGGTAGGTATCTGCTCCTTCACTGCAATCTGACTCAAACTGAAATGCATCCGTTTTAAAAGTCAAATCTTTTCTGCTTGTTTGAACTTGGAAAAACAAGTTTTTGTTACGTTGGAAAGAAAAGAAAGAATAAATCCTAGGACCTGTAGGAGTTTACTTGTTGCGTACAAAATTGCAAACAAACTTGACTTGTTTGTATGCAATTTCTGCATTAGTGGATGTAAAATATGAGCTATGAGCTTATTTTCCTCAGCTGAGAAACACCCATGTTGCTAAGCAATTTCAATCTGCCTGAGTGGCTACAACTAGTCATTTTTGACTAAGAAAGGGCAATATGAGCAGATATTTGGTGGTTAGAGAATATATAGCCAGTGAGTCTGATACAGGTTGGCCCTCAGTTTAAATTCTGCTAAAGGGCTTTAAAGACTCTTTGACCGGCTCTAGATCAGAAGCATATCTTAACTTTTAAGACTTTTGCTTTAACCATAACAATATCAGACCAAATATGATCTACACACTGCCTTTGAATGCCACATTTATTTTTTATTTCTACTCCAGTCTTTTTGAAACAGCCAATCCCACCAGCTTGTTTCTTTCCTATCCACCAGGTGTGCAGCAAACTTTTAGAAATGATCTGTTCAAACTCGACATCAGCTGGTGAGGTAGAGTGTAACTTAGGTGTATTAATGCCGACACTGTTGCTACGATAACATAGAGCAACATTTTCAATTTGTTTTGAACTGTTTAAATTTCCAGCAATGGTGGTCCTGTCTGCCGAGACATTAGCCTTTAACTTCACTTTTTACCACACCTACTAAAATATGACGTTTTTCCATAAGCTGTGAGGAAAACACTTCTAGAGTTCAGTACAAAGAAGTTTGTCACTCATAAAAAGTGAATCTCCGTTACTTTATTTTCACTGTAGCAAAGTTATTTTTCCTTATGTAAATCTGGAGCTAATCTCATCACTTTATTTGTCAAAGCTCACTGTAGTGTTCTGAAAGTTGCCAAGGTTGTAAATCATAGAGACTGAATGGGACTTTCCACTCAGATCTTGTGACTCTGAGTCTTTTTTTGATTATTCATGCTGCTGATGATTGAAAAGCTGTTGGATGTAAGCTACAGCAACGTTCATGTCCGAATAGCCTTCTCCGCACATTTAACCCCAATCCAGTCAGAATGCTAATACAACAGGCTGCGATGATGAAAGTTAGGAGTGCGTATTTATTGATGTTAAAGCTTTGGTTCAAAGAGCCGGATTTGCTTATTGTGCTTCATTTTCCTTAAAAGGTTTCATTGCGAGATACTTTTTTGTTTTTAGTCTTTTTGTTTTTTTTTTCCTTTGCTCTGTCTTTGCACTCTGTTTAAAGTGGAAATGATTGTTATAAAGTATGCTATATCTCCTGACCTGTATGCTCGGCGCCCTGGATGGTATGTCTCACAATAAAAACAGAGATTTGAACTCTGACATGTGTGTTATTGTTAATATTTATTTTTTTTATTCTGTAGACACCAGAAATTCCCGATTTCCAGAAAAAAATAAATGCTCGCATGAAGAAGACAAAAATATTCAAATATGAGTAAAATAAAATAAAAACAACTGCTGTTTATAAGGCTAATCTTGTAAAAACAGATTGTGTTGCATAATCACAGAGTATCCTGCACAAAGGGCTTTCTGTGTTGCATAACTGCACTGGTCACTTGTGGTTATTAAAACCTCAGCCTTGCATTATTTTTCCTACTTTGGCTCAGACCCCAGCAGGAATGTAAACATCCAACACGATCAAAGAGAGAAGGAGGCTAGGAGAAGTGATTGTGTATTTTTAAGGGCCTTATCGTGGAGAAAAGCTTTATGGAAGGTGAGGAATCAGATATGTGGAATGTAAGTGTGCTTTGCAGGAAACGGTCTCAGGATGACTTCTAATTATAATGTGGCTGCTATCTTCCCAGAACACCAGCTAAGTTGTTGTAAAAGACTGTGTTTAGGTGGCCTTTGTCACGGTGACACAGCAGTTTCATTGTCAGATATCTTCACTTAGCTTTAGAGTCACTGGCACAAGCTGCAGTCAGAGCTTTTCTGAATGAACTGTAAACAGGAGGCTCCAAATGTTACATGGCCTCCTCAAAAAGGGGTTACTGAAGGCCTGGAGCCTGAAGTCTGCTCTCAGTGCAAAGACAGAAATAGTTGCCTTGTTTTTTTCCTGTGCTGAACTGAGGGAGGCTAAAAGATTAACTGTTGAATGCCTCTTAGAGAGAAAGGACCTGGAATGTGTGCAAGGTGTCTAATTTAGGAGGCATCAATTGGAGAATGTTGACTTTGAAAACTCAGAGAGCTTTAATTGTCATTCAGGGACAAGAAGGGCAAAAATTATGCAAAAGAATTTGAAAACTTAACTTTTTCATGGAGCTGTAGTGGATGATTAATCTCTTCAAATAGTCTGCAGGCTTTGTTTTATTACAAACGTTGAACATTGTCACTTGAAAAGGTACATTGAGCTTAAAAATGCTTGAAAACAATCTAAGCTCCTTCAGGCAGACGTCTTGGAATAGATGGAAATCAAGCAAGCAGCTGGTTTGAGCCCAAAAAAAGAACTTGGTTTCACACGAGGAGGGTTTATAGACTTACCAGCTTTACACATACTGTACAACGGAAATGTTGAAATGGTAGATTAATTATTTGTCATAATGTAAAACTGTAGTTGCCCTCACAAACAGCTGTGATAGAACGAATAACCCTTACTGATCAGCCTGTACAGTCTACAGGCATTTGAAATGAAAACATCAAAGTTATTCAACATATACAGAGTTTATTCAAAGAAGAAAGAGGAAATGATCCCATTTAAAACTTGGCTCTATGTACCAGGACCTGCTATATAGAGCCAAGTTTACTGTTAAACGTCATTGAGGCTGGTGGACAATAGGTTTGACTAACTGAGCGCCACAAATACAGTTTGGGTTTGGGGCTGGTAAAAGGCTGAGCCAAACATTTAATTTAACCTGTGGTAACTCAGCAAATCACCTTTATTTTTCTTCTTCTTCTGTGCTCCTGGGGTTTTATGCTGCATGTCTTCCCAGGGGCCTTTGGTAAACAGAACCACATTTATTTGTCTCTTTTAAAATACAAATTGAAACTTATGATCATCTCTGTATTTAGTTTAATTCATTCTACTATCACATCTGATCTGGCCCCCACAGCATGATGCTGCCATCACCAAGCATATGGTGTTTCTATATGAGAACACTTTAAATACAAAGTTTCTCTGCACCAGTATGACTTTGTTTATAATGTGTTCAAACACATAAAAATACACATCTTTCTTATAGACTGGAATGGGACAAGAATATGAAAAAGTTTAAGGAAATTAAATAAATAAATACAAAAACTGTTTGATGGAAATCATTGTTTATGAGTCTCTATTTTTACACCTTCTTATGAAACCATATTTCAAATTGTGCATTTTAGCTACCTTATATTTGAACCTAGTCAGAAATGTTCAAAACTTTTAAAGTTTTTTTTTTTTTTTTTTCTTTTGGGTTCCCCCTCATATTTTCAAGATTATCACAACGTCTGACAGACATTTGATCAGGAATTTTACTGGGAACACTCAATGTATTTCCTGGTGCAGGAAGTGAAATGACTATCACTGAAAAAAAATTATGCATGTGCTTTTGGCATTCACTTAATCATATTTAGTTACTTTAACACAATAGTTTTATGTTCTACCCGTGTTAAAGTAACTACATATAAAATAAGTAAATGCCAAAAACGGTTGCATTATTTTTTTCAGTGTGCAAAAAAACATCAAATCATCCTCATACCGTGCCTGTAGTTTTTTTTTCCCTGCTAGAGGTTAACTTTAACAATTAAAAGCATTGATGCATCTAGGATACACTTGCACAAGAGAAAACAACAAAAAACAAACAAAATTTCACAATAATGTCCCATAATTTCCATATTGTGTGACATTAAAGGGGTTTTCTATTCCAAATGTTTTTTTAAAACGACCGCATGGTTGAACTCTAAGGATTTGCGGGATTAGAAGGTGTGAAACCGGTGGAAGGAGCGCTCTTGGTTCGCGTGTCACTTTAAACAATATGCAAGTCAGCCCGCCATGCATCAGCGGGTATAGAGGAAACTGAAACATCTCTGAGCTGGCTAACATATTTATAGACCAAGTGAGATGTTTCACATTCCTCCTTTATCATCATACTAACTGCGGTGGCAGCCTGCACAGAGGTGCTTTCATTTTAATGCTTATGTGTGACCCGCTGCAGGCCTGTGATGGCCTTAGGAGGGCAGACATTCATTTGATTATTATATAGAAATGGAAGCTTGATTATGCTTTGTTTGCATTTGTTATATCGATGGAAATTGAACTTTAAGCAGCCTGTTTTAGGAATGCAATCATATTAAGTCATAATTAGTCAAACCTAAAAAAAAGAGGCGTAGTGGATTCTCTGTATGACGATTTCCAGCCCAAACTTCACACTGAAAGCAGGTCCCGGTGACGCGGCTTTGCTACTTTCTGTCGTGTGGTTTTATATCTCAGGCACCTTTCAGTACAAAATGCCGCTCCGAGAGTAAGTAGGACAGCGAGCAGAGTGCAGCATGTTGCCATGAAACCAGAGAGCCAATAATGTTCTCACTCACAGAGCCCGCTCTGTGCGTTCATGTGCGGCAGTCGCCATTGCGGCTCCGTCCAAATATGGAGAAACGCTGCAGCTGCAGAAGCGGCGACGCGCCGTTTGTGCGCCGCTCGCCAGCCTGAGCTCAAACCGTGCAGGCTTCAGCCATTCCAGCACCGACAGGAAATGTCGGTCTGCGCGCAGAGAGTATCAAAATGGTGGTTCATATTTCGACGGAGGCAGCCTTAACGCATCTTTGGTCAGCCCAGCGCAGAGCCGCGCCGCGTCTTTGTTTGCGCCGCTGCGGGGAGAAATTCATGAAACAAGATTAAAGCAGCGGGATTGTCAGCTTGGCATAAACGATCGGTGATGAAAAAGAAAAAACTGAAATGTTGCCTGCAGCTTTAAAAGGTGCGGAACGACTGCCTTCCAGCTCAGTCAGTTTAAACCAATTTGATTCTAAATCTGGTTTAAAAACCGATCCAAAACCTTTATCAAGGCCATCTTCCGCTGGGTTTACACCTTTATTAAAATACAGAGAGCAAAGAAAGAGGAAAGAAAAAAAGAATCCAATCAATAATTAATCTTCTTTATGTATTTTACTAATGATATAAACAAGAAGATGTGTCTCGGAAATTTTTTTAAAGTAATGTCGCCTTTCGGTTAACTGCTTCAGTTCTTTCCATCCAGAAAATGTCTCTCCAAATGTTTCCAATTCACCTCATCAAAAAGAGAAAGACGCAGAAATCATTTCAAAACGTCCAGTGTTTAATTAGTTAACCAGGGGCCAGGAAATATATTGATTAACCCAATAAACTCACACAGGCCTGCACCAGCCCAGTCTATATTTAAATGTCATCACTGACTTAAGGAGAAGCATACAGATATCGAAGAGTCATTGTGCAATCTTATTCCCTCAATGTTTTCCACAGTTTAAATCATTTTTTATCAGAATAAATAGATTGTCCGCTTCCTGACTTTTCGTTGAGTTTGTGTGGGTCAGTTCGCATTAGACTGGTGACCGTATTTCTTGGCAAAATGAAAGACTTGCAGGCCTGTTCACCATTTAAAAAAAATCTATAACCAATATAATATTTATTGTATTTAAATATTACAAGAAAGAGTGGCCGATACAATAAATACACATGTACTAAAAAATCTCTCCCGAGCTTTTGATATTTGGTAAAAAAAAAAAAAAAAAAAAAAAAAAAAAATCACGGGGCTTGCCACAGTTTCATTGGGCATCTGAAATAAACATGAAATTATGAATGGAAAAAATGTGATTAAATAAAAAAACAAACTCTAATGAATTAAGATAAATAAACAAGAGACGAATTAAGTGAAAAATAAAGCATCCAATGTGATTATAGAAGAAACGAGGTTTCATTAAATACATAAAAATCCCTGCACTGTATTTCAGCTGTCTTTGGCTACATTTAAATCAGCTTTGGCGTTCAGGAATACAACTACTACTGATGATAATTATAATAATGATAATACCAAAAAATACTAAAAATAGGGATAAAACTAAATTATTAAGTCTTAAAAAAATGTATGAATAAAATGTGTTTGAAATATTTGTTAAATATCTACAACTTCTGAAATAATACTTAAAAAAACAAAGTAGCCTACAGTAAAGTTATATAAAAATATAAACTATATAAAACCAAAAAAAATCCAATGTGAAATGAATACAAAACATATAACATGAAAAAAAAGAGGGTTCATGTTCATTTTCACAACAGAGAAGACCATGAAGGTTAAACGCTACATTACTGCATTGACATATCATTTTTTTTCCTCAATTTTTTTTAAATGTCGGGATCTTTCTCCCGTCATTCAGCTTTACAAGGATATTGAATAATTTAAAGATTTAATACAGTGTCTGTCTGGCGATTTTTTCCACCCAACATGCGGTGTATGACTTTTCTGACTTTTCACACATTGTCACAGATTTTAGAGATTTTGGAAAGAAAATAAATAAATGAAACAATTTATATATATATATATATATATATATATATATATATATATATATATATATATATATATATATATATATATATATATATATATATATATATATATATAAAGGAAGTCTGACTTGAATGTGTACAATTTTTGTTTCAAAAACAAATTTAATTCCATGTTATATTTTCATCAGAGCTCTGCTTATTGGTTTGTGTCTTTTTAAGTGACTTCGTGACGTTTTTTAAAGAGATGCGGCGCAAATTTCACTTTTGATTTTTAAGCTACACGATCGCATCCCAATGATAACAAAAACGTCATGGATATATGACACATTGCAAGAGAAACTGCAAAAAAAAAAAAAAAAAAAAAATGTCAATGAACTACCTCTGTCTCGAAATATTTAAAAGATCTATCCTAAATAATTATTTGTGAAGCTCAGGGGCAATTATAAGCCACTGTATAGGGGTTTATTATTTCTGGCTGAGCTGCTGATTTGTTTCTTCATTTATTTCTTTCCATGTGTTTTTTTTATTATGGATCTGGGTCCTTATTCAAACACATTCTCACATCTCTTTTAATTAGATCAATTAGCAGGTGAAGAAATGCAAGATCCAGTTGTGAGCTGACCCCCTGAGGGATCGGGGGTCAGCGGACCCCACCTCCCCGGGACTCCAGTCAGCTTGGTTCTCGGCGTGTGCCAGACATTCCTGTACAGCAGCCAGAGCACCGAGCTCCTCCCCTCCGCTCAGAGACCCGGAGCACGTAGCAACAACTGAACCAATGTACTCCACCAGCGCTCTGTCCTACCCCGACCGCGGTGCCTGGCAACAAGAGACGTGATGACGTCCACTCAGATTGCGTATTATGGGATGTGCGGAATTAAACAGCCTCGGAGAGAACGAAAAGAGGGAAGCGAGAAATAATAACAGCGGCTAAAAATCGGCGTGTTTGCATGGTGAATCATGGAGCTGTCGGCTGTCGGCGAGAGCGTCTTCGCAGCCGAGTCCATCATCAAACGGCGGATCAGACGGGTATTCGCTGCGTTTCTCTCTCCCACCCACACCGCAGCGACAGCATCTGTTACGCAAAAGCATGTGTCCGTGAGGGCTATTCGGGCCCGCTCAGATAACCTGATCGCTCTTCTGAATCTACTCCTTTTTATTTTTTGCAGGGTCGCTGGGAATATCTGGTGAAATGGAAGGGCTGGTCTCAGAAGTGAGTATAAAAAAACATCAGAGCCAAGCGAAGGACAGCGCTCCATCCTGGCCGATCGCACAACTGCAGCGCCTCGCTTTCTGTTTTTTGCATGCGTGATGCGTTTTATCCATTTTATGCGCTCTGCATGTTCCGTGACGCATCTTGCGCCAGTCGGGTGTTGGTAAAATCGACGGATTGTGTCGCTTGTTTGCGTCTGCTTGCTTTGGCAGAGGCTGGGAGTCAGCATGCGCCCAGTGACGCATGCTGACTCCCTTCCCTTCATGCTTCATGCAGCTTTCACATGTGAAAAAAAAAGGAAAAAAAATGTATAACAGAAACAAAAACCCAACATACGCAGCATGAGACAAATTGCGGAAGAGACGACACATTTACTGATCCATATAAATGGGAGTGTTCTGGTTTCTGTGGTACAGATACAGCACTTGGGAGCCGGAGGAAAACATTCTGGACGAGCGGCTGTTCGCCGCCTTCGAGGAGAGGTGAGATGGTTGATCAGGCCTCTCTGCGGGGAGATGGCACCATGCGATATGCTTCATAAATCATGCACAGATTCTAGATTCCCTTCTTCTATATACTTGTCTTTATCTGAAATATCCCTTAAAGGAAATTAGGGGAAATATTGTATCTTGTTTTGCGCAGCCAATATTATCTGCTTACTGAATTTTCTCTTCAAAATCCACAAACAGTACTTTAAACTTTATGTATGGATACATTTTTGTCGTTTTTATTAACATTTTTAACTTTTCCAATGAATTATAGTGTAACTGAAATTGTTTATGTAGTTTTTATTCATTTATGATTTATTCTTATCATGCAGAGAGCGTGAAAGGGAGCTGTTCGGGCCTAAAAAGAGGGGACCCAAACCAGAGACTTTTCTCCTGAAGGTGGGGGAAACTTTTCTCAAACTTTTAATGAATCAACTCATTGCATCTCTGATTTATGGTAAAGTATCAGACAGGAACAAAAGTGAAAGCATTACTGTTAGGGAAAGATTGGGATAAACTTTGGAACATGGGGTTGCTTTTTTCTTAGGTTATAAATATAGAGCCGCACAAGAGTTTGATCATGTCTGCCAGAAATGTTGTTTATGATAAATTATTTCCCTTGGTTTGTAAGACATAAATCACGGAAATCTATGCGGCCATGTGTTCCCTATTTTACCCTCATTATTTTAAGTTTGTGTCAACTAAGTTGCATAAACTTTAATTTTTTTTATGCCCCACATTTACATATATTTCATCAATTGGTTTTATTCAAGTGCCCGCCCTATTCCACCCACCCCCCAAAACTCTTTTTTCTCTCTGATTTTTTAAAAGTTTTTACATTTATATTTCGTTTTAAAATTAATTATAACCACTCTGCAACAATGAGTGTTTGTTATAACTGTTGTTTTTTTATATATAGAGCAGAGACTGGATAACGCAAATGCAAAATTATATCTTGCAAACCTTTTATTCTGTTCTTTTTTCTTTTTTTTAACAAATAACTGACTCCCAAATTTAGCTTATACAAAGATGATAATAGTCCATCTTGGATGGACATTTCCAAAAATCTTAACTTAACAAAGTGAAACTCGTGTGCACATCCTTTTCACAGAGTGGTACTTTATAATTTATTTCATCATTACTGATTTTCATCTCATGAAAACACTAGTTTTTCTTATAAAAAGACTATCCCAAAAGAAATCCCTAAACAACACAAACTGGTTATTCGCAAAGAACCCTTCAACTAATAAAAATGATGTTAATGTAGGTAATGCATTTTATTGTAAATAAAAGCTCAACTGAGATTAAGTTGGGATTCCATTTACTGTTCTGCAGAGGTGTAATGGATGTCCAGGTTGTCATAGTAACCTCCATGGCCTTGTGCAATGTTAGGCCTGTTCTTGATCACAATACAATACTTCATTACTTTAGGTATTTAGGTCAAACCAGATAATAGATCACTATAATACAATAAAGCAAATATTGGTGCTTTGAGCATTATGGATGGGTGTAAGGTCCAATTAAAAATAAATCTTATCAGGTTTGTCAGCAGAGGGAAGCATCAATTGCTGTAAAATGTCTATGATATTTGACTGGGTTAAACACAGCAGGCAAACACCATCTGATCTCCAAATCCTAACAGAAAACTCTTCACATGGAACCTTAAGAAGCTAGACTCTGCCCCTCTTCTCCCTTCCTCTTAATGATTTCCAAATAAAATATATATTTTACTTTCTTCTGAAAAGGTGACCTCTGAACCAGTTCCCCCCTCTGCTTAGGCATGATCTGATCTTCGCCTGAAACTCAGCCATCTGCAGGCTACCCCTTTCTGAATTGACCTTTAACTTTAAAATTAGATTTTTCTTAGGAATCTTTCCCATGTACCTATTTTTAATATTTCTTTTCCTCGCACCTAATTTTTCCATGAAAGCTTTTGCATACAGTACTCAATGAAGCATCAAGCGCTTCTTTAATGATTTTCCTTTTAGACCTTTTTTACGTTTCTACTTTCTGCTGAATATATATCAAGTAAGTAGTTTTAACTGTGATTGTGTAGCCTGTAACAACACCTATCTATTTCATATATTTGTGTTCATATAATTGTGTTCTAATTTTTGCATATCTGTATTCGTAAACATCGATCAAATTAGCAGAAACAAATGGTAGAAACACTCATTGTGTAAAGTAGCCTGTGAGTTTGAGTGTTTGAATTGAGTCAAACATTTCCAACGATGATGTAATTCATTTAACGATCCCTTAGTTGACCCTCTTTTCTCTTATTTCGGAAACATTGCCATACTTTCTTTTCATCTATCTCTGCAGGCCAAAGCAAAAGCTAAAGAGAAGACGTATGATTTCAGAAGAGAAACTCCAAGAAGTATCCAGGTTTCCTATCCCATCCCGGAGCCAGTCATAACTCCACGAGCCCGTGAGGGATTACGAGCCGTGGTTCCAACCATCTTCCCTCCGAGTGCGATCAACAGAGGAGAAAGCGTCCCGATCCGACCCCCAGAGCCGGAGAGGAGGCCTAGACCTGCTATGACGGAAGCTCTCTTTGACCAGGAGTCCGGTCGGTTTCCCAGAAAGCGAGGGCGCAAGCCAAAGTTTCATCCACATTATGATCCACATGATCCCAGCATCTCAGCGGAGCCGGTCTCCAAGCGGAGCAGGTCACTGGATGAGCAGTCCATCACATCTCGACGCCTGCATTATCATGGGGAGACATCAGAACACAGCCTCTTACAGCTGACCAAGAGGTTTCAGGAGGAGACTACGATCACGCCAAAACCCAGCAGTGAGCAGAGATATGCAGGGATGTCGTACACATGCGCCTTGAGTCCAGGCATGCGTAAAAGTGATCAGGAAGGACACAGAACTTACAGTTTGAACAGGATGCATTTTCCCAAACACAGCGAGCTGAAGCGCTCTGCAGAGGAGCTGCCCTCACAGCCTGACCCGTCCGCGCCCTCAGCTCCAACCTGGACCCCTTGTTTCACCAACTGGGACACTGTGACAGTGACGGATGTCACTATGAACCTGTTGACTGTGACCATTAGAGAGAGCAGCACTGCTAAAGGCTTTTTCAAAGATAAAAGATGAGTATTTTCCTGTTGTAGTTCCCAGTGGAATATTAACGCGCAACTAACACAGGCCTACTGCCAGACTATATCTTTTCTATGTAACTTTCAGAACGTGTACATACAGATATTTAATATGCTGCTGGAGAAAATAAAACAAAATAGGCAATGAAGATGTGTTGTTCTTTTCAAGTTTTTGTCCTAAATGATGTTTTTATTAAATAAGTAAAAAACACGCAAACAGAAACAAAAAGTTAAATCACAAAACTTTTTGGATCTGTTTTCACAACAGCATTGGAATTTAAAAATGTACATCTATGCCCTTTAGCTTCCAGTTGTACATAGTCTTTAATGATTTATCGGGACTCTGTTCGATTGAAAACGCAAAATTTTCATTACGGATAAAAAAAATCGACTTCAAGATAAACTCCTTTAAGCCGACTTTTTAAAGCATCTGTTCTAGAGGGCGTTCATCATTGTTGCAATTCAAAGTTAAATCCATATGAGTGGTAAACCTGCTAACCATGAATTCTGATGCTCCAATCACTTTCATTGCTGCTAGTAAAGTTCAACATCTCAACATTATGGAACACCTTTGGGTTTAACTCTGGCTTCCTCATCTATTGACACTGTTGCTATTGTAAGAAGGATCAACAAATTAGATCCAATAGATTATGAACATGTTGCATGTTGTATAAAGTAGACAGACAACAACTTTTGGACATGTATATTTAAGGCAAAGGTATTTCTCTGTCTATAGATATAAATATTTTCTCCCAGCTTTAGTCCCTAATTAAATCTCATACAGAAAATGTGCAGATGCTGAAAAGGACTCCTGCAAGTGGGAACATGAGATCGCTGACAAAGGTTAGATTGTTGTATTGCCTGAAGTAATGATTATTGGGATTATTGCAGGAATATCAACAAAAATTAGCATTTCATTTACCTTTAAAATGTTCCTGTTACATTGAAGAGGGGTGCTGTATGAATAGTTTAAGTTTAAGATATAGATAGATAGATAGATAGATAGATAGATAGATAGATAGATAGATAGATAGATAGATAGATAGATAGATAGATAGATAGATAGATAGATAGATAGATAGATAGATAGGCGTGGGATAGGATGAGAAGCACCACTGGGTCTTTGTTTTGAGGCCTAATCTGATCTGAGGTAAAGTCAGAAATATGGAAGATTTTTTTAAACAGAGAAACTTATCTCTTTAGAAAAATATTTCCATTTCCAGGGCAGATGGGCTCTCCTTGCTGAGAGCTTCCCCAGTGCACACTGTCTTATTCTGTCACCGATCTGACTTCTACTTGCCCCACTTTTGTCGCACTAGAGAAAACTTAGTTTCTTACTCCTATGTGGAGTCTGTGATGAGGTCAGAGGTGCTCTGTTGTCACCCATCTTCACCAACCCCTGTTCTCTCGATACGACGGAGACTGAAGGAAGGAAGAACAAGCGCGCACAACGCATCACACCTTTTGGCGCACGCCCAAAGTCTGGCCCTCAGTCTGTCGTGTAGCCATTGAGGCAGCCACAGTAAATAGAGGAAAGTCGATTATAAGGGTGTGTAAGTATTATTAAATAATAATGATTATAATTTAAACATGCAGAACGCATCTTTAAAATAATCAGTTTCTTCTCTTATTCAGCCTTCAGTCTGTTGGAAATGCCATCATTTGCAGAAACAGACCTTTCTCTACCTAATTATGTCCGATGCAACAATCTATATACGAGTTTTTTTATACTGTTAAAATTTATAGAGATTTTAAAATATACTATCAGACTAGATGTGCAAACAGCTATTGTCTTTAATTTAATTTATATTTCAAAATAATCGGATTTTCTCCTGACATTTTAGTGTCGATCCTTAGGAGCCCTTTTATTTAAGGACATTTGAAGTTTGAGCGGCAATTTTACTGGTGAAATTGTATGAAAATATGTATGGCAAACGGTCACGGGAACAAAATTAGGTGCATAGATGATAAATTCGTTGCTGATTTCATAAGCAGATCCCTCTACTGCTCATGTTTCTCTGAAGGGTCGGAATGTGGCTGCAAACATAACAGCAGCAGTTTTTTTTCTATTGTTCAACAAAATAGACCGGATTACATAATACCTAATATTTTAAAATTCCAGTGAATCAGGATACACTGTGCGTCTGCAAGGGTATTCACAATTTTTTATTTATTTATTTTTTATTTTAACTAGGTCAGATTATCTTTGAAGCAAAGCTTCTAGATGAGATTTTATAGAAAGGAGGGGGTTTCCAAAAATCTCATGCATCAACTTGATCCAGCTTCCTGCTGGTAGCCAGTTTCTGTCACTGGGTATAGGCTACAAAGCGGCCATTCATTTGACTTTGCTTTGTCTGGGAAATATTTGAAAATCACTCCAATCAGTTTCTTTTCAGCAGCACGTTTTGCATTTTCTTTTTTAATGTAATATCAATAAACCAATAAAAAGTTAATCATATTTTTTTACATGTCAAACATCCATCCATCCATCTGCTCCCGTTTATTCCATCAGGGTCTCATTGGGGCTGGTGTCTATCCCCAGCAGTCTATGGGTGAGAGGCGGGGTACACCCTGGACAGGTCTCCAGTCTGTCGCAGGGCAACATAGAGACACACATCCATGCGCACACACACACTCACACTTAAGGACAATTTAGATATGCCATTTAACCTAAATATTCTCTGTATCCTCCTCATATGTCAGGTGTATCCAATTATATAAACATTCAAACTCTAAAATCTGCAACAACTTTCCTAAAACTGTAAAAGAAGTCTTAATACAGCGCTTCAACTTCACGCATCACCGAGTTTAACCTCCACAAGATGTCGCCACGCACCATAAGACCTTGAAATATGGCCAAGTGTTTGTGTGTGGAAAAGGCAGCGGGTTAAAATGAAGCGGAACTGCTCGTCTTGCCTGGATTAATCATTGATGAAAGCTGGTAACTAATTCCACACGGCTCTGCGCTCGAAAATTGCAGCCCGATGAGTTACAGCCCTCCTCCTCTTCCTCCTCCCCAGGCTACTGCAGGAGTGGGCTTTCCAGATGTGAGGGCAAATGGATGTCTGTGCGTCTGCCTGCCACTAGGTGGGGTGCGTGTGCAAATACGCACCAGGCGTGGTCAACAAAAATAAATAAATAAACAAAATAAAACAGAAACATTTATTTCAGACTGTCATTAACTTTAATCTTCAATACGATGATGCCAAGATTATCCTCAGGGGAAACGTTTGCAAGCAGCTCTCTTAAGGGGCACTGGGATAAGATACTTTATTGCTTTTAATCAATATGACTTTTATAAATGTGTTATTATGAGTCCTACATCTATGAGTCTTTTCATAAAGCTTTGATTGATTAATTCATTTATTTATGCATTGATTGATTCATGCAATTATTTATGCATACATTTATTTGTGTTTTCTTTATTCAATCTAATCCGAACTAACCTGCAGATTATGCGCAGATTATATCAATCCAAAACTCCAAAGCAATAAAGTTTTGGATTCTCACCTATAATTAACACGCTCTGTAACCCCATTAGGTCTCAACTCGTGGAATAGATTTTTATAAGTAAAACTTAAACCAAGTTGAAAGAACGTCATCAGGAATAATGTAAAAGATTATGAACCATAGTGAGTTAAGACGCCGCAAAAAGTAGCGCGCTCTCAGCAGATGGCTGCATCCTTTTCTTTATAGTAACAAAGATAAAAAGCTGCAGAGGCCAGCAGTCCCAGAATACTGGATCAGTACTAATTGGACCCTGAGTGAGAGAGAGGACGGGGGAGAGAGAGGAGGAGGGAGAGAGGAGAAACTCTCCAACCAGAAGGCTCTCCCCTTCCGTTTGGTCTGTATATTTCTCTCACCAGCTTTAAACCATGCACATCTGTCAGCCTCTTGGTATATTTCTGCAGAGATGTTGCCAAGCCTGATCATCTGCGCCTGCCTGCCTGTTCTGGGCCTCCACTGTGCAGCTGACATGTGTAACTGGTCTGGAAGGTGAGCCTCTTCTCTGGTTTGAGCAGGAATATTTACACAACTTTATTTAGTTGATGCAAAAAAGATAGAAAAAGTTGTTTTGGGGGAGTTTTGTAAAAAAATAAATAAATAAATAAATAAATAAAAAAAGGGTTAAATCCAAACATATTTCCAAACTGTTAAGTGCTGCAAAAGATAGAAACAATGATATGATTATAGGAGTTTGATGTGTTTTATTTTGTTGAACGTCAGATGGGATAAGCTGTTTACTAAAGGAGCTTTTTCTCCATTTATCATGCATGTTTAATGAATCAGTGCTCTCAGAAGAGCATCTAACATCACTGCTCCGGTTCTTTGCAGCGGTCTTGCAGCTGGAGCGGATCCCAGAATCGTCTTGCAGGTGCGGCTCCGCTGCACAGAGGGCTACATCAGGTGGGTCTATCCGGGTCAGGGTCTCCGGGTGGCGCTCGAGCCCAATCTGTCTTCTATCCGGTACAATACGGTCTGCATCCAGCCTTCTCCGTCCCTAAACGGAACCAGCGTCTTCATTGAGCGGGCCGGACACCTGAAGCTGCTGCTGATGGGAGAGGGCGGGCGCTCGGGAAGGCAGGTGTTCTGTTTCCGGGCGGATTGGCCGCAGAGGCCGGTCATTTACCTGCAGACCGCTCCACACAGTCCTGGAGCATGGAGCAGGCGCGTGGGCTTCAGGTACGAGCTGCTGCGCAACAAGAGCGCCAACGGTGGGCTGCAGGGTGAGTCTGGAGCTTTTTGTGTGTGTGTGTGTGTGTGTGTGTGTGTGTGTTTTTTTATTAATTAGAGGTGAAGTTAATTACACATTATTTGAAATATATATCAGATTTTATAAGAAAGAAAGAAAGAAACAAAGAAAAAGACGTTTAAAGATTTGAAATAACTGTGAATGAGGTGCAGAAGTTTTTTCAATCATCAATTATTTTGTGCTCTTAAGTTTTTTTGACACATAAAATAAAATGTAACTAATTGGACCAGCATAGTTTATTAATGCAGTGTTCTTTGTCAGAACAGATGAGCAGATACAAACAGGCTACATTAAAAAACTTGCTAAACGATTTTTAGGTCTTACACAGATAAAAAAAAAGTACATCTTTTGCGTCTACTTTAGCATATTTAGTTATTTCAACACAATTATTTAATATCCTACCCTGCTAACATTAAACAATTGCGTTAAAGCAACACAATATGCTTATGAAGTAAAAAAAAAAATGCGTGAATTATTTGTTTTAATAAAAAAATATTGATAAATTAATGTTACTTTCTTAGATTCCTTGTTTTAATATATCACCTCATCTGTCTTTGTCATTAACAAATTACATAAATCCAACTCTACTGTTTCTTAACTATAGTAGTCTGAGAAATGCATTTTAGTTGTAGGCAAATTTGATTTTAAGCGTATTCAAACAGCAATCACAGCAAAGTGTAAAGCCATTAAATCAGTTCTATTACAGTATAAAACAGAATAAAATATATCAAGTATTAAAATAAATTATTTCTGTTCAAGACACATGTCAAGTTAACTTAGCTTGGATTTTTAAAAAGAAACTTTTTACATTTTCAAAACTGCATTTTTGATTAGTTTTAAAGGTCAAAGATGTTATAGGTCCCACAAGGATGGAACTAGACTGCATTTTTCATATTTTTTATATATTTTATAATGTTGAATTGCAAAATATCAAACCACTACACTCTAAATTGACAAAAACTAAACTGACAGACAACCAAGACAAAAAAACAAACAGGCAATAATTTTACCAGCTAAAGTAATTTTTTATTTGGGTTGTGACATACAATTGAAAGCTTAGCTACAACAAATTTTTTTTATCGAATAGTAGTAACTAAATTAAAGTTATTAATTTTTACTAAATATCTTTTAGCTCAGTCATGGCTGGATGAGACACAAAGCTCTGACAACAGACATTGATAATTCTGACATGTATCTAGATGGACCAAGATGATTTAGATGGAAAAGGATCTAAAATGTATCTCTACTTTGTGAGGTTTTAAATCAAATTTTCACTTTAAACAGGAGAATGTTTAGAAAAATCCACAGAAAATGACAATACCAAGGAACTCCACAGGTGAGAAATTGGGTGTCCCATGCAACATGTGTATGCCATTACATTCCAGTGTGAAAGAACTAAAACCAAACACTTTCCTGGATCTATGATCTCTAAAGTAAACTGGAACATCCAAGTCTGATCTCAAAAAGGACAGGATGGACTTTTTAAAGTCATTTTTACTCATGTTTGAAATAATTGAAAGCAGGTTAAATTCTCCCCGAGTTTTGGGAGAGTCTCGTAGTGCCTCCTTCCAAAGGGGGTTATCCAAACAGCATTTCCCTGATCAGATACTCAGCTGACTCCTTCAACTTTTACTTCAAGCCTCCTTGGGATTCTGAGTTCCTCCTTGGATGTCTTGCCTGACTACATCAACCCTAAGGAAAATCATTTGAGCTGCTTGAGTCCAGGATCTCATTCTTTCTGTCAGGATCCATATGACACTAGGTAATTCTCAGAACCTTGATGAACCACTCAATCAAGAGCTTTAGTTTTCAGTCTCAGCTCTTTCTACAGCACAACAGACAAGGTCTGAATCCCTGCCGGCAGTAAAGCACATCAGCCAAAAGAGAAAATGAAACGGACCCAAAAGTAATCAAAAACAGGATTTTATATCAAAACCAGGCATACAACAATGCAAATTTAAAAGAGATGTTTCTAGCTGAGGGGAACATGCAGCTGCTGGTCAGTCTGTTTTTTGTCTTGTTGTCTGGTTTCCATCAGGACACAAAGCAGAGGGGACACAGCAGATCACTGGGCGACCAGAGGCCACCAGGCCAACAGGCCTGCATTCAGAAGGCAAATACTTTGCAGATTCCACAAATGCCTCATCATTGTTCCTGTCTGATTATTAGCATTTATCCATGTGTGCGGGCCATTCCCAGCATTCTGATGTCATCCCAGCCTCTTAATAGACAGCTGCCTGTTTATCTTTTCTGTATTAGCAGACAGGAGAAGCATTTGACTCCTGAAGTCCTCTGCATTGGAATCGAGGTCATTCAATTAGGTGCGCTCAGAAGAAGCCAAACATGGGGTCAAGACTAGTATTGTGTTTGGATATGGAGGTGATGCTGTGGGCAGAGCACAAACGCATGAGCGACATTCCTTCAAGTCAACCATGGAGCCACAGTCTGTGATGTGAGCTCAGAGATTAATGGAGATGGCATTCAGGTCAGGGAAGCCCTAGGGAGGACTGGTAGCTTAATTTTGATCACAGTCAGGCATATTTGGTTTGAATTTCTAAAGGCATCTATTGATTGAAAGTAAAAAAAAAAATAGTCAAAAAATCAGCTTATATTAACAAAATGTTCTCATTCTCTCCACCCACAGCTTCATGCCGACCCTGCAATGACACAGAATTGCTCATGGCCGTGTGCAGCAGTGACTTTGGTGAGTATATATATAGAAAGCGTAAGCAACTCAGAACCATGATCAATTAAAATGCTTTCAGTTTGTTTACAACGAAGTTACCAGGATGCATTAGCATGATGACAAATACATTTTCTGGGCTTCAATGTTTAATTTAAAACTCAGACCCCAAGAGACAGATTTAGAAAAGGTGTTAAAACTAAAATACGTCTACTCTTTAAAAAAAAAAAAAAAGTGTTGCAACAGCTTATATCTACGCTGCATCATGTTTTATTGCAATACACCAAGCAAGGAAACCGTAAAAACTCAGTTGTTTAGGGAACTGAAACCATCAACTTTTGAATCCTAAAAAGTGTTCCCCTTTTGCTGTCATATACTGATGACTGCAGGCTATTACAGTAATCATTTCTATGCTCCCCCCACATTCACGCTCTCACTGGGTGAGTTTGTGAAAAAACAATAATGATGATAGTAAGTAAAAAAAAAACTTTCATTGCAGTAGCATTATCTCATCATTTCAGAACGATCCAGTCTTAAACTTGAGGACATTTATTAAATGTGTAAAATATTTCCCATTTTAAAAGATTATTTACAGAATTGCTATCAGTTATTGTTGTATTGACAAAACCTTAAGAATCAAATTGAGTTAATAATCTGTGACTTTTTGGTGTGTAAAATAAAAAAAATATTTATTTTGACCTTAAGGATTGGTTGTTTGGGATTTATAGCCTAAAACAAGCCACTTTGATGAAGTTAAACATGGGCTTCCATTCCCTCTATGGGGACTTTAGGAGCTACACTTGGAGCAGTAGCAACCTCAGGCTTTTGGAGGCCTTTGTACTCTCAGACACACACACAACTCAAATAAATGGGTACCAGGCCTTTGACTGCTGGTGAGGGGAATTAATCATTTGACTAAGGGCTATTGGAGCTGGGATGCCTCTCAAGGTTGCAGGATATTAGCTTTTGAGGACTGGATTTGGGCACCCCTAACCTGGAGCAGTCTACTAGAGCTAACCAGCTGATACAAAAACGGTAGACAGGATGCAGGACAGCAGTTCACAAAGTAAATTACCGGCCTGTTGTCTTGTTTTTGAAGCAAATATAAAACAGCTGTAACCACAGACTATAAACTATAAAGGTTATGAATAAACGGTGAAGGGGACTGCAACTTCATTTTTAAACTGGCCCACTTTTTATTTAAGTTTGACAGCTATGACCCCGGGAGACTGTGGGAAGAGGCACGGGGTCTCTCTCTGTATAATGCAACCGTGACGTGATATAGGAGACTCTAAGCCTTGCAACCTGAGTGGTGGGCTAGTGGTTAGGGCATTGATGTTGGAACCCTGAAGTTGTGAGTTCGTAATCCACTCCCAAAGACTGCCACTCTGGGTCCCTGAGCAACAGACCCTTAACCCCACACTGCTCCCCGGGCGCCGCACAATGGCCGCCCACTGCTCCCCAAAGGGATGGGTTAAATCGAGAGTGAATTTCATTGCGCTGTACTTGTGACAGTGAAATGACAATTAAAAAATGCTAGAGAAAAGAAAAAAGGTATTAGTGGTATAGATACACTGCCTTAAATGTGTGGTGGTTTGAGTTGTGTTTCCCTGCTAATGGTCTTCCTTGTGTCACATGCTGTGCTACCTGAAAAGGGGGAATGAAAAGAGTAGAATTTTTGTGACTTTAAGAACTATATGTTGTTAAAGGATTATTTTTTCTATGCATCTTTTCCAGTTGTTCGAGGCTACATTAAAGATGTCTTCCATGACGCTCGACAGCAGATTTCGCTGATGGAAGTGTTGACGACCAGGGTTTACTGGCAACGTAGTAGAGTGTTTGAGAAACCAGGGCATCCATATGTGCCGTCTCAGTCCCGGCATGGACACATCCGGGTGCTCTTCCAATGCAAAGTCAAGCTTGGGGATGGACAGTTTCTCTTCACTGGATCAGAGCACTTTGGGGAAGCTTGGTTAGGATGTGCGCCACGCTACAAAGACTTCCTGTCCATCTATCACAAGGCCAGGATAGGACGTAAGAATTCCTGCGACTTCCCTCTGGACTGAAGAAATGTGTTGTTTAAGTAGCCGAAGAGACCCTGTATCGGCACCGTGGGGACCTTGTAAAGCTGTCATATGCCAACAAGATGGCATCAAGGTTCAGTAGCAGGGAGAAGCTGCTGAAATGATGTCTAAAAAAACACATGTAATGGGGGAGAACAGCAGGGCCTCCTGAACTGAGGCTCAGAGAGGGCTGGCCTTTGTCCTCTAGCATCGCTGCCTTTAGTCCTGGGAGACTGAGGAGGGGTTGGGTTGCTGCACTCTCTTTAAACAGTCCTCGCATTAGCTGTTGTTCTCTTTGCAGTCTGTGAGACCATTGCTCTATGATACTAGATGGGAGAGAAAAGGAAGGTCTTCTATTTGACATCATAGGCTTTGTGAGGTTAAGCTTAGGCATATGCATGCCTGTAGGAGTTTGCTTTACCCAGTTTATATTACGCCTCTTTAATTCAAGTTTTTGCACTTGTATTTACAGGCTAAAGATGATTAAAATATGATGGGTAAATATCTGAAACAGGACAGTAATATTCTCTGCATGTGTGTGTCTGTAGTGGTGTAATGATGTTTGATGGGTGGAACGATGCAGCATCGAAGCAAAAGTCACACTGGTTGCTTTTAAAAATGTAAAAAAAGGTTTATACTGTGTCCTGCAAAGGAAATTTCATGTTAAACTGTTTTTAATAGACCGACATAATGTAATAATTGAGATGGATAAAGTCAAATAAGTAAATTTGTTTACTTTGTATAAATACTGTCTTCTGCAACTCCTTTATTTCTGCATCTCTAGAGAAGGACATTCAGATGGGATGAACAGCAGTTTTTCAGACACGTGTTCATCATAGGATTTAGATCTGGACTTTGACTGGCCCATCCTAATACAAGGACTGGTTTTGATGTAAATTATTCTATCATAGCTCTGACTGTAGGTTTAGGGTGATTGTCCAGGTGGAAGGTCAATCTCTACTCTTTCTATTTCTATTTCAGCCTATAAAAAGTTACTCCTCGTTATTGGCCCAACATTGGCATCTTTAAGAAAACTACACATATGCCTTTAAAATCTATATATGTGATGTTTGTAACTGTTTTGTAATTATTAAAACTGATATCTTAAAGGAAAATTATTCATTCCCTGAAAAAAAAAACCTCCAAATCCATCAGATCATATACTAAACTCTAACTCCTCTTCTTTTTTCCATAAGGGTTTTCTTCTCTTATTCTTATCTAATTGTTTTGGAGAATTGGATTCCTGTAGAAGTGTTCAACATGTATCCTTTACTTCATGATAACACTAATGATAATAGTGTTAAATAAAATGGGTAGATCACGACTAGATGGGGTCGGAAACAGAACTTTCATTTTGAATTTATGCCCCTCTGTTTCTTGGTTCAGGAAGACAACAGATGTGGGGGCCCCTCAAATCCCAGATATCCTCCCCCGTGGCCCCTCCCATTCATGAGAAGAATCAATTGACTTTTAAAGCTGCTGCTTACTGAGCTCTTCCACACATCCCTCAATGGCTACGGCAAGCTCACAAATTTGCGAACTAAACTTTTTATTAGCACTAAATAGCTGCCAGTGAAAGTGTACATGACTGAGTAGTGAACAGCGAGCACACAATGGCCCCATGGTGACAAGGTCTCTATCAGGCATAATAACCATTGCTTTAGCTGTGGTCATAGATAAAGGCTGCCTGGGCAATGGATTTTAAGAAAGACGGAGGATAAAATGTGTTTAACTCACGTAACAATATAATGTCTTGTTTTTTTTTCATCTTTAAGCTTTTATTAAACCTTTTTAGGGCAAACAGAACCCATACACAGACAAATACCATGCTGAACATGTATCTTGCACTGCAAGAGAAATAAAGTAATTTAATATTTTGTGTATTTAAAAGACATATCGCATTATGTTAAGCCTGCTCTGATAAGATCTGATTGGATGAACACCTCCTGGCAACTCCTCTAGTAGTTCTGCCTTCTGGAACAACTAAATTTACAGACTTAGACATATGAGAAATGAACCCTAATCTTCAACAATATTTGCCCATCATAGCCTGAGACAGGACCAACCCCTCTGCTAGATTAGGGTGCATTAAGTGTTTTTGCTTCTTATGCCACAGAATGTTTGTCTAATTTGGAGTAAAATTTATCCAAGACAATATTTGTAAGAACCACCAATATATCTAAAAGGACTGAGGCAGAACTTAAGTGCTTTTATAGAATTAGACTCATTAAGCTGATATAAGGGGATCTATTTTCAGCATTTCCAGCATAGAAAACTTTGGAAAATTTGGTTTTGGAACGCTAAATCTCTTTTCCCCTTGAAAAATGTACCCTCAATACAACATTTACCGGTAAATGCATTTACAATCCATATAAAATGCCTTTTATTAATTCCAAAGAAACCAAAACCTCCTGGATAAGACGTATTAACTCTGATTGTTTAGCTTCAGATTCATAAAACTTCCCTGTTATCAGAAGCCATTTTAAGAGTAGATTTAATTTATTGTCTTTGCTCATTTTTGTTTGTTTTTACGTAATTTAATCAGCAGAAAATAGATGTGGTTATGAAAACGACTAAAGAAATTCTTGATTAGACTGATTATATCATCATTGCTAATTAAAGGGGATCCATCATTGATTAACCCATAAAAACCTCACCTCTTTATATTTTCAATGAGAAGAAAGATAACAAAGCCTTAGATTATAGAGCTGATAATAAAAGAAGAACATTTATATTATCATAGCTTATCATCACTATGTAAGGATAGCCCCCCTTAAAAAAATCCCAGTATGATATTGCCTCCCCCAGGTCTTTCCCAGGAGGCCACCATGTCAATTTTTCAAGCAAAATATAGTCTCTCTCCAGGCTTTTGAGACCACACAATTCCCATCTCTGGGAATTCCAGCTGGCTCTCAAGGGGATCAAGCCGAGGAGGGCTCGGGGCCCGGAGCCCCGGCATGGTGCAGCCGCAGGAGATCGCTCTGACTTGGGGGGTAATTGGTTTATCCCACCGCCTGGCCTGCTTTCCCATGTGGGCCACTGCTGCGGGGAGGCCCAGGGGTACAATATGAAAACAGCATGACACCCTCCAGAGCCGCGCCAGCATTGACCGCTGCAGCTATAGAGAGCAGGGACAGAGTAGCAGGAGCACAAAGCTGGAGAGGACATGTCTCTTGACTTTGAAAAGGTTTTTTTGGTCTCTTTTTTTAGAGAAAAAGTGGGAAACATTTGTGGTTGAAAGCAAGAAGTAATCAAATTTCGACTGAAACACTTTTAGGCTGAAAGAGGTTTGAGTCTGAGGCACCTTTCAGGGGTCAGTCTGTAATTTATCATTCATGGATATATTTATATTGTCATTTTGGTTTAGATGATAGAGAACAGGCAAATACAATTTATTTCTCTTTGTTTGGCTAACTTTTTTTTTTTTTTTTTTTTTATAATAACCTGTTTATAATCCTACATATCACCTCTGTATAATCCATGTTTCTGGCATATAGTGCCTTACAATTGCAAACCATTAACTTTCATAAATCTACAAAGTTTGAAACCAAAAAAACAGTTTTGTCAACACATAAACTATTCTTCATGTAAACAGTGGCAAGAAGAAGGTCACAATAACCCCTGTGTACAAATTACAGCATACCATGAGGGAGACACAGTAAGCAATTATAAGAATATACTCAGGTCAGACAAGAATAAGAATGAATATTTTGCCCTACATGCAGCATGCCATGTGTGCAAAAACAAAACATAAAAAAAAAAACCCATCATATTTATCTAATTAAACCTTATCCACAGTAAAACATGGTGGTAGCTGTATTATGCTGGGGGGATATTCTTACATAACATAAAAAGCTGAGATGGAACTCATTGTATTTTCAAGACTAACAATACTCATAAACATACGATCAAAGCTATAAAGAAACGCTCTATGTTAAAGTGGAAGATAATGTGTCTAAAAATGGTCAATTTAGATTTAAAGTGAAACACAATTGCAAAGTATTAACAAATGAAAAATTTAAATTAAAAATGTAATTCTCAAAAAATTTCCATCTAATCTTGTGGGTCATTTTTGATTATGAATTTTATCAGAACTCGTTTCATCTACTATAGAATAACTGGAGCTGGCGATTGGAAGCTGTCATTACCAGTCCTATCCACACGGTGGCAGCAACTCACTCTAAAATAAAAACACCCAAAACAAACTGCGGTTGATCTAAAACATTTTTGCAAGTGTTATTTTCTAATGTTTATTATAATTATAAAATGATTATTCTGTGAATACAGAAAAATACCCAGATATGAAATATGTCAGAGGACCTTGTGTTCACAAACGCTGTTAAAAAAGCTGTGATATCTTCTCAAATGTGTGTATTTAATAACAAGTAGGTGTAAAACTATACAAATTAATGTGAAAACTTAATCATATAAGAACCAAAGGAGTCAACAAAGAAATCTGATAAGCAAAAAGTTTGTTAACAACATGGGGGGCGCCGTATGGGGTGGGAAGTATGGAAGATTTCAAGGGCCCTTGACTGAGAGGGCCCCAAAAGAAAAAGAAAACAAATGTTCCACTAAATATTTTAAATCTAAAAAAACAAAATCCTGCAGTAAAATAAATTATCTTTTGTGTTCTTGCTGATCTTTCAGCATTAAACAGCGAGACAAAGCATGAATATATTGACCAACCCATTAAAAGGCATTTATTAAACTTGATCATTCTCATGAGCAGCCTGAAACAGATACACCAACAATACTTTTATTTTATTGTCTTTACATGTATATATGTATAAAAAAAAAAATCAGCGCCAGCATAAGAAATAACCTTTCCTTTATTTAAATTAATAGTGAAACAAAATTGGAATATATTTTAAAAATACAAAACCTATTTTCTTTTCATGTTTACATAGAAACAACTAATTTTTTTTTCTAAATAAGCTCTTATTATTTTGAGAGGATGAGTTTTAATGTAAAGTTTGAGGTAAGTGTATATTTAACTTTTTCATGTGATGAGAATTTTAATTTGTCAAAATTGTACAGTAAAAATGACATTGATTATGTAAATAATGCTCATGGTCCATCTTCATATCAGTTTTAAAGCTTGTGTCATTTTTTTTTTTTTTTTTGTGGGGGGGGGGGGGGGGGGGGGGGGGGGGGGGGGGGGGCAGTATCAATGTCTTTCTTTGGGCCCCAAATTCCTCGCGGCGCCCCTGGCGGTATGTATTAGAATTCAAAACTTCAGGACCAATTAATTTAATAAACTTTTTGAAATTGTTTTCTTCTATTTATTTTCAAACTGTGACACAGATTTCTTTCTTCTTCTTCTTCTTTTTTTTTTTTTTTAAGTCTAATTCTCAAAAGGTGTCACATGTCACCAGGGGCCCATGCGCCTTGCTTACAGTCGGGAAGTAGAGGCACTTCCTCCTTCATACCTCTCCTGGTTGTGAAACCATATCATTTCATTTTAATGGGGATCCAGGGGCCTGTCACAGCTCCAAACACTGAATCCTTCTAGATCAGGAGGTTGGACCCAAAGCTGCGGCGGATGTCGGCCGCTTCGGTCCTGGAAGTCTCTTTATTTTTAGTGCGTAAAAAGCGGCTGGAGTGAAAATAATGGCTGCGACGTAGCGCAACTTTTGGATCCAAGGGGTGGATGATCGAGAGTCGGACTCAGTGCTGCTGGTGACTTTTACGGACTAGAGGGAGACTTGGAAGAGGACTTTCAGCATGAAGAAACAGTTCAATCGGATGAAGCAGCTGGCCAACCAGACTGTTGGAAGGTTGGTGCTGGATCCTGTGACATTTAAACCTTTAAATGCTTGGCTCCTCTATTGTCAGCAGTCTGCTTGTTGTGGGCGGTGTCTCAAGGACTGGGACGTGATTTTAAGAAAGGGAAAACTTAAATGTTAATTAGTTTTTTTTTAAACTACTCTATTTTCCATTTGTTTTGCCACAATAGGTTTAAAATCGTTAAATAACAAAGTATTACTTTAACTCAAAAAGAAAAAAAAAAGAGATTTATATTAAGTCTACGCTTACTAAAGGTTAGATTTCCCTATTTTTATTTGTTACTTGCATAATCCCAATAGCACCAACTCAAATAATTAAATGCAACCAATATAACTGTTCATATACAGAACAGGGGCGTCTCCAAAACTTCTAAAAAGAGGGGCCAAAAATAATCTCCAGGCCACCAAACGCATTTAGGCCCCGTCCACACGAAGCCAAACCCTGGCCTAAACGCACAAACTTTTCACCAAACCAGCCTCTCATCCATACGAAGCGGGCGTTTCGGGGGTCTGTAAACGATCTTTTTTTTATTCAGCCTTCAGAGTGGGAAGATTTTGAAACGCCGTTTTCGCGTTTCCATCTTTAAGCTCTAACCGCATTTTTTTTTTACACACATGCGTCATAGCGTTGCCTCTAAACACGCATGCGGGACACAGTATCACAACAACAATGGCGCCATACGGTGTTGAATGGTTGCTGCTCATGCTACTCACCCTGCTGTCGGGCTTACAACAGAATCTTCTTCTTCTGGAATATCTCCAGGAAGAACAGAGCAATATCGACGACATAGTTCAGCACCTGAATTTGACTGAACCACGAAAATGGACCCGCAGGGCAACCATGTATAAATATTAGTGCGCATGCCCAACATTTCGTTGGTTATTTTTGCTTTGGCACCACAGCGCCACTTACAGGCCTGGCATACATTTTGCAGCGTTTTCATGCATTCGTGTGGACGCTCACATTTATTTTACGTCTCCGTCTTTACGACAAACGTTCTGGAAAATATTAGCGTTTCGTGTTCGTTTTGACTTCGTGTGGACGGGGCCTTATTGTGTTGTTTATTGTGTTGTAGATATGGTGGAACTTAAAACTTTGGTCCCATTTCAAAATAAACAGATAATATCCTGATCCAAATAGTCTAAAGCATGCAAATAATTTGTCCATTGTTTAAATTTATAGTGAAAGGAAATAGGAATATATTTTCAAATTCAAAATCTATTTTCTTTTCATTTGTAGATAGACACATCAATTTTTTTTCTAAATAAGCTTTTATTATTTTGAGAGGATTAACTTTAATGTAAAGCTTAAGGTAAATGTGTATTTAACTTTTTCAGATGAGGATCATTTTCCTTTGTCGAAATTGTACTGTAAAAATTACATCAAAAATGTTACTTGCATAATCACAATAGCACCAACTCAAATAATTAAATGCAACCAATATACAGAGCAGGGGCGTCTCCAAAACTTCTAAAAAGAGGGGCCAAAAATAATCTCCAGGCCACCAAACGCATTTATTGTGTTGTTTATTGTGTTGTATATATGGTGGAACTTAAAACTTTGGTCCCATTTCAAAATAAACTGATAATATCCTGATCCAGATAGTCTAAAGCATAAAAATAATCTGTCCTATGTTTAAATTTATAGTGAAACAAAATAGGAATATATTTTCAAAATACAAAATCTATTTTCTTTTCATGTGTACATAGACACATCAAAAAATCTTTTCTAAATAAGCTTTTATTATTTTGAGAGGATATGTTTTAATGTAAAGTTTAAGGTAAATGTATATGTAACTAACCCTAACTTGGAATTGTACAGTAAAAACTACATCGAAAATGTTACTTGCATAATCCCAATAGCACCAACTCAAATGATTAAATGCAACCAATATAACTGTTCTTCCACAGAGCAGGGGCGTCTTCAAAAAGTCTTCGAAGAGCTTGCTAAACGGAGCCAATGATAATCTCCAGGCCATTAAGTTCCACCATATGTACTATAGATATGGTGGAACTTAATACTTCGGTCTCATTTCCAAATAAACAGATCATATAGTGTGTAAATGCATATGATGGCTACCTGTATACAAAGTATATATTAATATGTTAGATTTCTTTGCTAGTAGATGATTTTAAAACACCACAGTTGTCAAATCTTGGTCTAAAATGTCCAACAGGGAGTTGACACCTAGGGACATTACATAGAACTCACAAAATTAAAATGCATAGAAACATTTTAATGTTTGCAAATCATTTATGTTTTATTCTCTCACAAATAATGCACAGAGAAATATAATGCATATACAAATTGTGCATGCATTAAGCAGTTTGTATAGACTATATACAGGGTACAGGATGGGCTGACTTTAACTCCGACCTATCACTCAAAAATAAAAAAAGCTGCCATTTTAATTTAATTTCCTGCTTTTATTAATCATTTTTGTTTTATTTCATCAGTTTTATTTATTTTATTGTTTTATATTAATATATATATATATATTTTTTTATTGAATGCATTAATTGGAGACTTATTTAGTTTGTTTTTCTTTTAACCCCCCCCTGCATAATAATAGCTCTTAGATTCACTATTAAATGCACTCGGTGTTAATCTCTTTCATTTACAGCGATCAGTTCTGTGAACTAACTATGCAGCGTTTATGTTAATGTCCCAAATTTAGATGTCATGCTCTCATTGACAGGAATTTCTTCAGATGTAGTTCAGGGCTCATTTCCTGATGGCACAGCCGATTAGACCACCCCTCTGAGCCCCTGCTTCCACCTATTACTGGACACCACCCAGTACATCTGTGGTTCCTCTCCTCTTAATGCCTTGCCCATCACCCTGAGGAGTTCTGTTTCCTCCCAGTCATTGCTCCACATGTTGTGCAACAGCAGTAAAAGTCCACTAAGCATGTTCAGCATTTGCTTAACTGAGAAACAAAACCGTTTGCAAGCATACACTTCCCCTGGATCATATCTAGATGGGGTTACCAAAGTATTTGACATGCTCAAAAGTGCAAGTTAGAAAAGAGAGCTTCTTATTAGTCTTTATTAGCCACACCCAGCTGGATCAGGTCTAATGACCTGAATTAATCGTTTTTGATTAAGTCTTTTATTTTGATGTGTAAAAAAAAAAAAACATGAACCACAGTCATAAGAGTCTGAATAAGACATGACAGTGACAACACACAAACAACAACACAGCTGGTGTTAACAGATAGTGTGTGGTCAGACGGCGAAGCAGGTTGGGGCGGATTGTTATGGCAGCAGACTGAGGGCATTTTGTGGAGTAAGCATTTTTCAGCAGTGAGGACAAGCGACGCTGGCTAGAACAAAGAAAGTCTCTTTCTTTTTATAAAGTTCGAAACCAGCTAGATTTGCATTTGACTAACAGGAGGAGGAAGTATGAATCACGCCCAGCTCAAACAGCTTTGTTTACAAATTGTTCTCACCAAGTTATTTTAATAAGACTATAAATTGAGTCATCAATATAGTCAGATTTTTTTTTCACCAGCTGTACTTTGGCCTTGATAAACATTATATTGCACATGAATAGTGCACACTGTACATGATTTCTCTGTCTGAAAGAGGCTTCTCATAGAACAGTAGCTGCTGCCTGTCTCCAAGCAGGATCAATGTTAATTCAGTAATGATAAAAATCATTGGGGTTACTTATTCATTTAGTGGGTAGCCCCTGCAGCCTGATACTTAACCTAATCATATAAGTTCTATCCTAAAACGTCAGTTTATTTAATCAGGGTTAAATGTGACTGAAAACTAAAAGGAAACAGAATATTTTCTTACAAAATATAAATCTGCCAATAAAAAGTGTGACATGCATTTAAATTCAGCCCTTTGTACTCTTCCTAAGTAAGATCAGGTAAAAACTGTCGGATGTTCTGTGGAGGACTTTGATGTTTATCAGATAACATTAGTGAGATAACTGTAGCATGAAGACAGTAAAGACAGTAGGCGGGATAAGGAGAGAGTTGGGTGGAAGTTTAAGTGTTGGATTTGTCTGGGATGTCTAAGCCAGGGATGACATCACAGCAGCAATTAGGCACTAACTACTATTAGAAGAGCAAGTGGACAGTAAAAATGGGTGATATGCATGGATGAAATTTAAGATGTGGGGGTGGCGCAAGTGTTTTTTAAATATAACTAACTTCAGTGTGTTTGACCATCCAATCACGGACCCATTTCAGTGGCGCATCAGACGTTTGTAAAGTGAGCTTCTCAGGACTGACAGCGGTGACAGCAAATCCAGCGAGAAAAGACGGAGGGTCAATCAGGAGCTTGTGGGCGGTCTAAACTCAGGGAAGAGGGTTCAGCTTGAGATTCCGGTTTTCCGCTTGGTCCTAGTGCTTGATGATTGTCTGTGTACTGTAGCGTAACATTGTTTTTGGACAGTAAAAAGTGCAGGGGACCAAAATTGACGTCTGAAAAAGTGCACTGGACATGTCTCCCCTGTCCTCCCCAAAAATTACATCCATGGTGATGTGACCTAGAACATTGTTCACCATATTAGTAGTATTTAATGCGATAATGATTATATTGATGATAAAAAAACAACATAAACTGATTCCATGATTTTGGCTATAAATCTATCAGTTTCTAACCAAAACGTCACAAACCAAAACACTTCTCTAGAAGTAAAACCCATTCATGAATACATCAGACTTTTCTGACTTATAGTTTATAAGTACAACATCTTCGTTTGTCATTGTTATGATCAATCAACATTTCATCACAATATATTTTTACCCTACTATCAGTAAATGATACAATATCTCCAATTAACAGGTTATAACATAAACATATGTATTCAAAACGTAATTAGGGGCAATTCTCTAAAGTTGATATCAGTAACTTAATACAACTTGCTATCTGAATAGAGCAAAATGTAGAGCTCTGTGGTGAGCTTTGGTTCTACCAGCTGGTTTTCTCATTTCAAGAGGAGTTCTTGTTGCCCTCTGTGAAAAATGCAGAATCTGGCTCCTGAGTAGCACTGAACATCCCAAACAGTACTTTTGCTCAATAAAGCTATGGAACGACTGCAGTATGCATCAAAAACTAACCCTAAAATCCCATCACCATGACATCACACCAGCAGACAGCATAGGCACTATTTTACTGTCAGGATGGGGCTTTTCCAGCAGGGTCAAGATAACTGGTGAATGCACAAGAATAGATATAAACGTTTATGAAGAGCAATCGTGGACGGGAAACTGTTAGGGGCTGAAAGCAAATGCACGCCACACTTTTCAGATCATAAAGACATTTGAAAACAATTTTTTTGTCTTTGCTTATTGCATACAATTCTCAATAATTCTTTGAGGTTTAAGGCTGTAATGTGAAAAACTAATGTGAAATACTTCAAGGCTGATAAATACTTTTGCAAGCGAAAAGCAGATTTGGAAAGGACAAATCAACTTAGAATCTGTTCATTTCTAGCTTTTAATCATTAGTTTACCTTAAAGTGTATCTTAGTCTTTTACAAATTAGATGTAGGACAACTCTGATTGTTGCCGGATGTGGCGTTATCATTATTTAATCATCATTATTATTTTATATATCAGTAAGCCTTTATGATACGCAGAGGGTGAATCCTGAGGATCATATTTTAAGAAGATCATAATAGGATGGCGTAATACCTCATGTCTGAGTAGGAGATATTTAATTGATCCCTGCATGGTTTAGATTCACAGCGTGGGCTCAGGCTGCTGGAGAGACAAGCGAGATCTACAGGGAGTTACATATGGAGACAGAGCTCACTGTGCATTTCTTTGATATAGATTGGAAACATTCCAGTTTGAAAGGTTTTTAAAATTTTTGCTCCCCAAACCAAAGCTTAAATAAAGCTTTTGAGCAATGTCGCCATTTACACCCAGCTTGTGTCAGAAATGTGCACCATGTTTCTGACATCAACAAGCCTCACGGCAACTCTCACGCTCACGCATACACGCATTCTCACATCTGCCCCTGTTGCCACAACAAACATGGTGCAGATGAGTCAGGATGGGTGCTTTTCAGACGGGGTGGAGGAATCTGACAGGTTTAGTTTGGCCCCTGGTGAATACTGGTACAAACCATACAAATGGTGCTCAGTGGATAAAAGCTCACTGACAGGACTTTATACAAACTTTATCACTGGGTTGCAGTTTTCTGCAGATCTCCATAGCAACCTGCATACAAGATAGGCTGGGTTTGTTGGCATGCTCTAGTAAACCAGAGCAAATGTGTTTAAAATAGTATTGGCTTATTATTAAAAACAGCAATAAATGTTATGGTCACATATTCAAACACATGCAAATTCTCTGGTCAACAATATGTGCTACTAAAACTCTTCAGATACATAAAAATATAAAGCAAAATGATTGTAGGTTAACAGATTCTTCCTGATAAAGAGCTGTAATTCTTTATGTGGACAAGGCATAAATAAATAATGTATTGTGTTTAGGGCTGAAACAATTAATCAGATTAATCAAGATTAATCAGTTATTGAAATAATCATCAACTAATTTAGTAATCGTAATCCTTAACTGGAGTAAAGAGACTGTAAGGTATGCTTTTAGCTGTCAGAGAAACCCACTTAGAGATATTATATCAAAATTGTAAAAAAAAAAAAAAAAAGAAAGAAAACATTTTGCATTTAAGATTACTTTTTTTTTTTACCTGTCATGCTCTATCCTGAACCCTTCAAGTGGAAAACTTTTAATTTCATCTGGTTTAATTTATCAAAAAACCTTCTTTAAGGAACCTTTGGCTCTCTAATTATTGCTTTATTAATCGAAAAAATAATTAACAGATTAATCGATTTACAAAATAATCATTAGTGTCAGCCCTAATTCTGTTTCATAAACTTAGTTTTCATTGCTTTCAGATGTGTAATTCTCTGTTTTTTTCCCTCAGAGCTGAAAAAACTGAGGTCCTGAGTGATGATCTCCTTCAGGTAAGCATCAATCCTCCATTTGTCCTGGAAGAAGGGAAAGTTGTATAATTGCTATATATTCTTTTTAAGTTAAGTAACTTTATAAGTTAGTTTCTGTTGGTTCAATATGTGTTATTATTTTATCTTAATTTATTATAAATGATTTTATTATGCTGAATATTTCTTATCTTTGATGAATTACCTAATACATTTTTGTTTTATTTTTTATTTAATGATTTTTCCCGTTTTTTAAAATAATGATCATATTATAATTATTATTATTACTAGTTGTGCTTAATATATATGTTCATATTAATTAAATATATAAAAAATCTTCTTAAGTTAAATATCTGCAAATGTAATCTTTGTTGCAGCCGTATCAGTAGAAGCTAAACCTGTACGAGACGTTTTTCTTTTTAAAATGTAACTATAGTTTAACATCTGTCTCTAATGAAAGTGATGTGGTGTGAGCTCTGTGTTACATCAGCTTTAGTTAAAATGATCTACATGTATAAACAGCATTTTTATGGCTGGGCGGACCACATTTTCTGGAGGAGAAAAAAAAAAACTGCGGAAGTTTCAAGTTTAGTGTTCCCCTCTAAGACTGTTAAAGCCATCATGCCTTTGCAGCTTGTTGAGGCCAAGTCTTTCTTAGGGCTTGAAGTACAGCTGCTTGGCTACTTAACAGCAAATTATTTTATTCAGTAAGGCTTTACCAACACAAGGTGATTCTCCCATGAGAAATAGGCTATTAGCTTATTTGTTTCATTTCTTTATTTTTGCTTAAAGTGAATTAAATCAAATCAATGTGGAGGGACTCTGCAGAGTGTGCATGTTGTTGTTGGGGGATGGGAACACTTTGGCTAGTAAAGCAGTGAGATCATGGTTAGAAAAAAATGTGGGAACAAATATGGTGGGAAATGAAGAAAAGCAGCACAGGAAAGGTGATTCGGTGCACCTTCAAACATCCTCAGTCAGCCTGAGGGTGGAAGTTTTATGACATGAACTCTGATCCTGGCGTGGCTCATGGTTCACACCCAGTTACTCCCAACACAAACTACTGCAAAGCATAAATATTTCTACATAAATATGTGTGTGTCTTTTTTTGTTAAAAGAAGAGAACAGACATAGCCGTCCCTCTTAATGAACTTTACTGTCTTTGGAAGTTGACAACAGTTGGGTTGTGTTGTGTTAGACATTCCTTAAGCTCCAGCATTTGGTGAGGAATGTGATTGTCAGGAGAACGCCATTGTTAAAGTACTTTGGATGTCTCTTGGTAGCTTAAGCTTCTGTTGGATTTTCTTTTTAAATGGCCAAAACACATCATAAACAGCTTTGTGTTTTTGGTAATTAGAAGCTAAAGGGGAGATACTTTGCTTCCAAAGTGTAGAAAAGTGTATGCAAAAGTGTGTGTGTGTGTATTAGGGGTGGAACAGTTCACAAAATCCACGGTTCGGTTCAGGGTTTCGTGGTCACGGTTTTCGGTTCGGTTCGGTATATGTTTATTGTTACACCGAAAAATAAAAAAAATAATAAAAATTCTATAAATTAATGACATTTTTTTAATGAAAAAATAAAAAAAATTAATGAATTGTAATTATTTTTAATGATTCGCGGAAACCATGGATCATTTCCGCATTTTTTGCTGCTTTGAATTGAATCCGCTCGTGCATGCCCTCTACGATCTCCAAGGAACTCAGAGCGGAGCGGATGGGAGCCACATTGGAGGCTGTATGCTTTGCTTTGTGCAGGCGGTCTGGAGCGCAGCGGGGCGGAGCGCTGATGGAGTATGTGGGATTTCAGGGTTAGCATGACATGTTGGCCATGTTGCTGTTAGCATAAACAAAACGTGTTGCACAATGCTTGCACACTGTTGCACTTTTATCCACAACTTTCTTTCCGCCGTCATCGTAGGTCACTCTAAATGCAAAGTTGGCCCATACAGCAGACCTATAAAGTGCTGCTGGCGTGTCTTCCAACTCCTGTTCTTTCCCACTCGCCATTCCGACACAATTCTCAACAACAACTGATTTTTTTCTGCTACACTGCTATGCTGCTTCGCTTCTTCTTCTTCTTGTACTACTGGTGGTTGGCTTTGGTCGCAGTACCGCCACCTTCTGCTCTGGAGTGTAAACGCTTCGCCTATGAGAAAATGGAGCAGCGCATGAACCGAACGCAACACACGCGAACCGAACTGAGACAGTCGAACCGAACGGTTTTCATAAACCGTTCCATCCCTAGTGTGTGTATATATATATATATATATATATATATATATATATATATATATATATATATATATATATATACATACATACATACATACACTCACACTTTTTATACTCTAACCAGAGTAGAAAAAGAAGTGGGAGGCTGCGTTGCACAACTGAGCAAGAACATAAGTACATTAGAGTCTCTAGTTTGAGAAACGGATGCCTCACATGTCCCCAACTGGCATCTTCATTAAATAGTACCCGCAGTAGCCTGTTTGTGCTGTCCTCCGAAGGGAGTAGCACACACCGTTGTAGGAAATCTTCAATTTCTTAGCAATTTCTCGCATGGAATAGCCTTCATTTCTAAGAACAAGAATAGACTGTCGAATGTGATGCTCCAGAAACTCCAGAAACTCAATCTGCTCAAAAGAAGGTCAGTTTTGTAGCTTCTGTAACAAGCTAAACTGTTTTCAGATGTGTGAACATGATTGCACAAGGGTTTTCTAATAATCAATTAGCCTTCTGAGCCAATGAGCAAACACATTGTACCATTAGAACACTGGAGTGATAGTTGCTGGAAATGGGCCTCTATACACCTATGTAGATATTGCACCAAAAACCAGACATTTGCAGCTAGAATAGTCATTTACCACATTAGCAATGAATAGAGTGTATTTCTTTAAAGTTAAGACTAGTTTAAAGTTATCTTCCTTAAAAAGTACAGGGCTTTTCCTTCATAAATTAGGACATTTCAATGTGACCCCCAAACTTTTGAACGGTAGTGAAAAAAAAAATGTCGTTATTATTCTGTGCAATGGTAGAAACATGACCCATCATAACTAACCATGGCACTGGTTGAATTAGCTTCTGCAATATTAATACTATTTATTTCTATCCAGAGGTACATGGATGTTAATATCAAGATCTTTTTGAATTGATTTAGAGGTGGACTGCAGGACAAATTTTGATTTAGCACATCCAAAATATTCACAAAACAGCTAAGCTCGGCACTCTGGTGGCAAATCCATGTGTGAAAATGTCTCATGCTCCTAAACCACACCTGCACAAAGTGAGCCTTGTCACTATTCGATCAGTTCTGCGCATATGCAAACAGATATACATCCGGATGTCCATGAATAATGTAATTATGGTACTAAAATTACTTATTTCTGTCATTAACTCACTAAAAATGCTAATACACATCTTTAAAAAATTTGTTATGACTTTTCTGAGACAATTTTGATACTTTTTACATTTTCTTCTTCAAAATGCTTCTCTGAGGTCATCATCGGATATGCTCAGAGTAACCCGGCAAAATATGATTAAACCATGTTTAACTGTATGTTAGTTGTTCCTTTCTTCAGATTATGTACTATATACCATAATGTTAACACGAAAAGAAAACCTAAACCTAAAAAAAGCCTGGATTTATGTTTAAATCCAAAGCTAAAAAAGTTAGCTCCTGGAAGTAGCATAGTATTCCATTTCCGGTGCAGATCAGGCACAGACGACTGATAAAACAGGCAGGATTTTAATGCATTTATTTTTGCAGGAAATGCATCATTAATCTTCAACACTTTATATTTTAGTACGCTTCCTAAATTAAATGTAATTTAGGTATTTTTTACAAAATAAATCGTGGGCGACCCGGATGTATATCTGGATGCGCAGATGAGCTGATGGTACGGATTGTGCTTCTGGGACGGATCGGTTAGTGACAAGTCTAAGAATGCAGACATTTTGTTCTAGGAAATATGCCTAAGCTGTTAGATTGACAAAGTTCACCGATGGGATGACCTGGTGGTCCTGCATACTCAGGAAATATTCTAACCCAGGCGTCACCAGCGTGATGCCAATGGTGACCCCATGCCAAGTTTGAAATTTTAGTCCATCCTGTTGCTCTTCTTTTTCAATAATTTAGAGAGCACTTCATCAAAGAGATTTCAAAATGGCAGTATCATAAGAAATGATAAAAATATGTTTTTATTATGTATGTAGTTTAGGTGAATACTGACCCCTCTAGTTTATTGGTCAGTACTGAGGCCCTCAGCCTAAGAAAGGTTGGTGACTCTTCTCTAACCACAATCTTTGGGTTGTTGTTGTTAGTAAACCAAGGTTGCTCTAAAAGTATCAGCCCCCACACTTTGTATTGTCTACACTAAGCATGAGAGGATCACTTCATGCATCTCTCTTCTTGCCCTCATGAACCCATCAATCTAAACAGGTTAAATGTTGACTCATCAGACCACATGACCTTCCACTATTACTCCAGAATCAAATGACCTTCCACCATTACTCCAGAATCAAATCTTCATGTTCCCTTGAAAAGTAAAGCCTTTTTTTCCTGATTAGCCCTTATTGGTTAGTGGTTTTCAACCACACAGCTGTTTAGTCCAAATCCCTTGAGTTTCTTTGGCACTGTGTGTGGAAACACTCTTACTCTATCTGTTGAACATACTCTTTGCAGTTTCCTCGGATATTCTCTTTCCTTTTAGCATGCCAATAATTTGAGGCCTCTGAAACTGAATATGTTTTCCACGAGCACAAGATGAGTCTTCTATAAGACTCTACTGGCTGCATCTGTTAGGGTAACATTTTTTTATATATTACTGTCTGAAACCAAACATCTATGGAGTAGCTATTCAGTGAGAGTTTCTTAACTATTTGCTTTGTCAAATCCATTAACAGGTAGTGTAACTTACTGAAGTAGCTAAAGAAACATAATTGGTAATACTTTTGGTTGTAATGTCAGGATAATCAACTTGAATGATTAAACTAAATCAAAAGTTGTTTTAAGAAAACATTAGT